AATCCCAGCATCAGCAATAATGTACTTTTCTGTCCAAACTGTCCTAATCCAGTGTGGCCCAAGTTCTTCTTCTCCTCCTTTTCTTCTTCCCTTTTCCTCTTCCCCCTTTGCTTTGTTCACCAGACATCCAGCATCAGTTCTCTGAAGTGTGACTTAGAGCTCGCACAATGTGAAAAAAAAAAAAAAAAAAAAAAAAAAAAGGAAACTCTCGGTTAAGTCACTGCATAGTCAAAGACATGAACTTTGCTGTACTGAGGCAGACTGCTGCATCACTTGACATTTTGATGACTTTTAAAATCATTTGTGTGGTTTTCATTAATGCCCTTCAGGCTCATAGAGCAATGTGATCGTATGGCAACGCAGAGTGATTGAGGAAACCAAGAACTACCAGTAGGATACTGGCAGAGTTAGGAATGGGAGCCCATCGTGGTCATCAGGACTTGGTCATCAGTAGTGCTTTTCACTGCATTTATCAGGACATATATGTATACATCTTGTTTATGTCTCATTTATCTTTCTTCTTTATAACCACATCATGTATTTATCTTTCAGTATATTCTGCTTTTCTTTTAAGGAATACTGTAACTCCTGATTAAAAAAAAAATTTTTTTGAATGGAAAAGGATACCTGGGGTGGGGTGTTTTTCTATTTGTCTGATTGACTGACAAATGGACAGGTGTTTTTACTGACTTGTTTACATGTTTACAGAAGTTTTTTCCAGTGCTCAGGATTTAATGTTGCCAATCATCTTTCACACCTTTCTTTTAAACACCTTCTTTTTCTTATAGAATATACATCTCTTACATGCTCAGTTTTAGAATACTGCTGCTTCTCTTGCTTATAAAATATATTTCCAAATCCGTGTACAGTTTAGCTCCTATTTGAGTAGTGAACCTAATGTGGACAACCACTAATACAGCAGTGAAATTAACAAGTCTGTACTGTAAGAAATGGGAGAGGGAGAAAAGCAGAGAAATTATCTGGTAATTTTGTTCAAGTAATCTTAGGAATTTGTTCTGCAGCATAATAGATGCACAATTTTCAAATTGAAATCCCCTTTTTTTGGACAAGGGAGAGGACCTGGAAGAGTTTATTCAGAGGTGTACCTTGTAACCCTCTTGGAAAAACAAGTGGTGACAAAGCATGTTTTTGAAGTATGCCATTGTGCACAAGGGGTAAAGAGACTTTGCTTGGAAAAAGGGGGGGAGAAAGCCCTAATTCCAGGATTAGGTTTTAGGATTGGCAGTGAAAGCACAGGCTCTCATTTTTTCCTTGTAATCTGAGCAAGTAAGTGTCAGACACAATAATCATGGAAAAAATTCCCCCTCTGTAACATTTTTACAATGCTTTTCATTGTATCTGCACATTCAGCCAAAGTGAATGGAGAAGCTGCGCGTTTGCTGGGACAGATTCTGGCTGTCCCCTCTGCAGGGATCACGTTGTACAGCCTCTGAAGGAAAGCAGAAAGGTGATGGCAGCTGCAGAATACTGCAGGAGAGCTGCAGCTTTCTTCAGAAGCAATGCTACATGCACTTTGTCAAAGGCTACATTATCAATGGAGAGGGACAGCCTGGTTAAATGCTGCTGCAGGACAAGATTGGATGCAGAATTTAAGGGGGGGGGGAACAAAGAAGCAAACAAACAAAAAAAAACACCATTGAGGCTACATAATGTTGTATCTTGCCTTAAGTAGTGCACAGCAGTCTGAGGACCATGATCAGGGAGTATAAGCTTCTATGTTTTGGCTTTTTGCTTTAAGATAACAAAGGGTGCACCCTCCAAAAACAGCACAAACGTGTACCAACAGCAAAGTCAATGTAAGTCCAAATTCCTGGCTGTACTTGAACAACGTGCTGTCTGTTAAAAAAAATAAATGGCTGTTTAACATGCACTCTCCAACCCTAGCGTGCATTATTATTATTCCATCTCTCAGATAAATACTCTGATCATGATAAAGTTATTTTCACAATAGGAAGGCAGGATATGATTATAACATACGGGATCTTCATCTAGCCTGGATCCCTCTTGTTGCTGAAGGTTTAGGCTTGCCACACCTGTGCTCAGTAGTTGGAGCCCAGTTGTATTTTGTGGGGGAGGCTGGAAAAGTGTAGTTTAACCTGCAGCACTCATTTTTTATTACATGCATATGCCTGCACAGTTCCCAGCACAAAATTTGGCCCTTGTTGAAAATACCTTTTGGCATACATCAGTTATAACGAAGCCAGTAGAAACTTGCCCTTAGCTTTGGCTGAGCAGTAACGCATTCTTGTCTGGACTCAGTTTTTGGTGAAGTGGCAGGAAAAATCTCAGTTCTTTGTTGAGCCAACTCATAAAAAAATGTTTCTTGTTTTAACATATGATTTTTAAAAGAAACTGAAAAGTTCATACTAAATCAGTTAAGGTTTTAGAGTACATTTATAACTAAATAATAAATATTTGGTGAATGAAAGCATGTCCGTAAATGTTACTGCTATAAGGGACTGTGTACTTAGGAACTACAGTAGTTATGTAGCCAAAATGTGTCTTGGGCATTAATAAACCTTCTTCAAGTTTCTCTCTATTCCAAAAAAAATCAAATTTTTGAACCAATGGTACCAAGCTCGTCAATTGCCAATGCGTGACTTCATGTTGTGAAAATGGAGCTCATGAGACTGGCGAGTTATCAGCAGAGGGGTTTGCATCCAGCAATACTGTGTGTCTCATTTGGTAAAGCATTTAGTCTGCCATGATCACACTGAAAACCCAAACTGGATTTTAAGATCACTTCTTATGCTGTAGCAGTTTAGAGAGACACAAAGGACACCTATTTTAGCAGCATGTATTAACAAACTAAATCAGACCTTAGTAGATTTGATACCTAAGCTAACCACACCAAAAAAAATCTGGGACAATTATTTTTCAACCGTTTTTCTGATGCATCTGGAAATACCATACTGTTGTTCTAGTCTTAGACACTTTTTATTATTTTTAGCATGTGTACATTATAGTAGGACATGAATGACTTTTACATGTTCAATAGCATTTAATTTTTGTAAATGTGAAAATCTGGGAGAGTACAATGCCTGTGTTATGTGGATTAGACTATATATTTTAAGCAAGGAGAGGCTCAGAAACTATTGTAGGAAATGAATTAGGCCAAACTCATTATTTGGTTTATTTTGGTTTACCCGTGTTGATGACCAGAAATTAATTTATCTTATACTGTATCTTTTTAGCTAGATCCAGAAGCCCCTCATTTTGTCCTGCCAACTATTTATTCTTATCAGAATAGTTCTCTTCTAAGATGGATCATTGCTTGATTAGTAACCTTAAAGTTCGTGTCATCTCCTCACTGTTTTGACTCATGGTGGTCTTTAGCCATCACTGTACTGCAAATCAGCATTTCCAGTCTTTCCTTGTCACTTCTACTGAATGCATCATGTTACTTTCTCTTGTGCTGTCTTTCATCTCTGCTGGTATACAGCTGAAGGTGGAAGAGATGTCTCTAAGCCAAGAACAGTTACATTCCTTTTAGTTGTACTCCATCAACAGCTTTTCTTCCTGCATATTTGCGCTTTCCCAGTTCTGGCCAGAAGTAGATCTGCATTAAGCTCTGCAGCCGTGTGCCTGCTTGTACCTACCTGGAGTCCTCACTGCCTCCTCTCCTGTGGTTTCTGGTAGTTCTTTCTGTAGCCCCCAGCTCTGCTCTTTCTGACTCCAGAACATCAAGTGCAGTTGTCTTCTTATACATGCAGAGAAGTTTTCTTGTGTTGGTGCCGAATGAGCTTGCTCTCATTTCCTATCCAAGCCAAATGTGTTATATTGGTTTTTATAACAAACATACAAAAACCTTTGGGATTTTGTCTTGCTCTTTTCTCTCTCCTCAGCAACTTCTCCTTTATCTGTCCCTGCCCACCTCTTCCTTCAAGCACTTTTTCCTCTCTTCTACCACCTTTTCAGGCTGCTTTCCAGCTTGTTGTTTTGATCACATCTGTAACAACTTTGCTCCCTTTCATATATGTTTCTTTTCTTGCATTGACTACATTGCAAAAATTGTAAACAGCAGATTATGTGAAATGTATGTCTGACCTTTGAAATCAATGCTAACCCGTTATCAGTATAATGCTGCAATTGTGCTGTATTAAGCTTTTCAGTCTTGCTAATACTGATAATGGTATATATGTTGCTGATGATAATAACTTGCAAGCTGTGATTAGTTCCTTGGATCATTAGTTCCTTGGATCATTCAGAGGGATCTACTAGCACTTGCTGTTCATGTGACAGGGGATCTCCTCTTTGAATACATAGCTGAAATCAATCAAACAAAGATGGAAAGATATTTTAGTAAATATGTTCCTAATGGTGCTTTTCACTGTGAGAAGTCACTCTCATTACTCTAAAAAGAGAGGTGTTTTGCCTGTTAGTAGGCACAGCTTTCTGCAGTTGTTAGTGCAGAATTATTTCTTCAATCTGTGACATACTTAATATTGGATAAATTTGTACTGGCTTCTGAAAAAATAAAAATAAAAATATGCCTCTTCTGGGAAACTATTCACTCCAGAAAATGCAGAGGGTATATTTATAGAAGGTGAGAAAATATTTTGGGTTCCATGCAGAGTGAATAATGAATAACTCAGTCAAGTGTAAATGACTTAAGAGGAAAATGTCTATGAAGAGATAAGCTACCTGGTAAATGTTTTCTGTTAGACAGTAAATCAGCAAGGTACATGCCAAAGATATACTTTCACTTCTAAATTATTCTAAATTGGAGTTTTAAAAATGCGGCCTTGAGAATGGATTTTATTCTTTCCATACATACAGTTCTAGACTGTAGATACCAAAAATGCTCCACGTACTCCCTCACTGGGCTGCCTTTGTTCTGTTTTACTTCTGTTTGGATATGTTGTCATCACTGCTAATCTGGTGAAGTAATTTTTGAAATCTTGGTTTAAAATTAGGTATTTTACAATTCCCACATACCTTCATAAATCATGAATGTTTGGTTTTGTATTTCATTGCAGCGGAAAACAGATGTGCCACTTCAAATGCAGGAACATGTACAAAGTGTCTTGCTTTGGGTCCAGAGTGTGGATGGTGTGCTCAAGAGGTATGGCATTTTTCTTATTTATTTTTTACTTTAAATTTTAGCTGCTTCTGATCTTTATAAAGATAAAAGACTTCTAAACTGTTAAAATTACCGTGAGAAATAGCAGGAAAATCTTTAAATGACCTCTGGAGACAGCACCTGAGAAATCATGTGAAATATATTTAGTTTCCAAAGGAGAAAATGCAATCTTTTATTTGGAAAATTGCAGTAATTTTAAATAAAGTGAGAACTTTCTAATGCGTTCCATCTGCTTTGTAGATGGGTTTGGCAGATTTATAGTAACTGTGAGAGTTCAACAGTTTTTGGCTTCAAAAGTAAAATTAGTTATCAGTAATTTGTATTAAGACCTTATTATATATCAGAGCAAGTCTATATATATGCCTATTGCATTTAGCAATAGCTAGCAATAGTGGAGTTAACTTTGATTTTACCGTATTTTATGTCCCCCATCACAAATGGAAAAAATGATACTTTTCTGTTTTGACACTTGAAACTATCAGTTCTGAGACTCGTCACAGAAGACAGATCTCAGATATAGAGAATTGTTCTGAAATTATTATTTCCTTGACAACTGTAAAAATATGTTTTTGTTTGTTTGTTTGTTTCTGGATATGTTTAAGAGAGAAAATCAGATGATTATGTTATTTCAAGTAAGGATGGACCATTTTAATTACTTCAGGGGAGCAAGGTTTTTAAGAATATTGCTGGCACTTGCAAGTTTATATGGTCTTGAAGGTCACATAAATATTCACTCTGGTAGCTTTCCGGTTAGCATAGAAGGTAGATAAATTCCTAGGGCAGATATACGGAAGAGATAAGAGAGCATAAGGCACTGGCATTAGTTTATCAGAGATACTGTGTCTTGGAATGATTAACTTAGGGTGATGCAAGTATAGGTAATGTGAGGATGAATGGAGGCAAGGAGAACTTGTTGTCCAAGAGCTGTTTCAGGGCATATATACATGGCACCATGGATTACAATGTGGAGATGGTCCATTACTGTGACCTGATATCCTCTCTTAGCAGAGGACACAATTTTACCCTGCAACATCTGTGTTTGTCACAGAACAGTGCTTCTTAGCATTCCAGTGATATGGAGCTGTAGGAGGGTTCCTTCTAACCAGATGCCCAGATTTGACGGGGTTTGACTTCTGATGTGCTTCTCTTACCTTGCTTCTCATGTCAATCCTGAGAGCCATTCATCAAAGGCAGGGGTTTGTCAAACGCTCTTGTACCATGCTTTGATAGACCACTCACCTACACACTGTCTGTGTTTGTGGAGTGGTAAAACTCATATTATTTCAGATAGAAATTCCCCAGAGTAAAGTTACAGGAGCAATTTTCAGCTTAGTGTGGCTGCTTCACCTAACTATGTTTTTAATAATAAAAGCAGCCATGAAAAACACTTCAAATGCTTTGATTTTATACCCCCACATGGTGAACTTCAGAACATATCTGTCAATCACTAGTGATAAGAGTGAGAGTAGATAAGTTCTTTGTATATTTAAAAATCTACCTCTCTGAAGTTATATAAATCAAAAAGACTGTATAAATAGCAGTAACCTAAAAAAATAAAATAATTCTCTGTTGTCTAAATAAGATTGTGAAAAAACAGTACCGGATGTAAACTGCAAAAATGAGTAGGAACTTAGAAAACAAGATACATTACTTAAAAGTCTCATTCTTCAGGGGCTTTCTCTGGTCTTTTCAGGATCTGAATGACAACTTATTCTCTAATACACAGTTGGCTCTATGCACTTTTTGATTGTTTATTTTCCCCATCTGCCTCTGAAATATCAGAGATTGTCCATTGTTTGGTCTCCAGCTGTGGCTGAGATGGATTAATGCTTTGAAAGAGTACAAAGAATCTTGTCAAGCCTTTTTTGTCACTTGCATGATCAGGATCATGCTAATCATCAGATTTGTTGTCAGGAATTTCGCACTGTATCATGTTGCCACAGTCTTGGCAACTTTGCCCTTTTACTGCAAGAAAGGACACACTGCTTCTGACACCATTCTACTACAAATCATTTTTCTGTTGTTGCCGAGGCTTTTTTCATGTTGGTGGCATCCTAAACTCTCCAGTCCGGTAGAATTTAGCTTTCTCTTTCTGAGGAATGGAATGATGTAGTCCAGCTGGTCTTTGGCTATTGTGCAGGCTATGAGTTAAAGCTTAAACATCTGTGACAGATAAATGCAGGTTAGGTAAACCTAAATCTGACTTTTGCTTCTACTTTTTAATACTACCCTAAGATAACTGTTGGTTTCCTCTGAAAACCGACATGTTTAGAAATTATGTGAATGACATTTTCTTGGTGGAACTAATTCATAGCATAGCACAGAATATTTTTAGTGACATAGTGACAGTACATAGTTTCCTTTTTCTCCAAAGTCATCTTGTTCTCGTTGTGCAAGATCCTCTTTCTCACACACAGAAATTTTGTTCTTTGTAGAAAAATAGTCAATGTAGCAATTAGGTTAACATCTAAGTTAAATATTTTGCCATTGCACTTATGTAAAACATATGGCCTTCATAAACTAGTTCTACAATTTATGCAATTATAGTAGCATATTTTATTGTTTCAAATACTATTATTTTGTTTTTCTCTTTCCTTTGAAGATACTACTGTTATTTTTTTCAGTTCAGATTGCTATGTTGTTTTGGTCTTTTATAAAACAGGATTTCATGGCCGATGGAACACAGAAGGGACGCTGTGACACTGTTTCCAACTTAATGAAAAGAGGCTGCCAATCAGATCTTGTAGAAAATCCCACAGTTCGTGTAACAATACCCAGTGATCAAGAAACAAATACACAAGTGACACCAGGAAAAGTTTCAGTCCAACTGCGTCCAGGTTGGGTTATCTCTAACACATGGATAATACAATACAATAATATTTAATACAGATATTTTGTTAAGAAGCAGCTGGAATCACTATTTTGAAGAATGATGCTGTAACATTGCATTGTAGGACTGTGATGGTGTTGCTCCCATATTAAAGTATGGTCTTAAGCAAGAAGTGTTTCTGTCAAACATATCTGAAGGTCAGAATAATGCAAGTATCAAGTGGAAAAGGGATTTTAGATAGTCTTTTCTGTTTTCTCTTGTGATTTCTTGATTATTTTTCCTTTCAAAATAATTTTCCCTTACATGTGTATAAAACGTATTCCTTACAGGAGGTATATTGGGCTAAAATTTCTAATTCCTATATTCATCATTTGATAAGCTTCTTAATAATTTGGTTACTTTTAAGTGCAAAGACTAGACAACTGTGAAGGCACCACAGCCAATATGAAAGAAAGGGATGGATTCATAAAGAAGACTTAGGTATTCAGTTCTTAACATGACACACCTGGCCCTAACAGTATCTATATCTCTTTATTGATCTGAGGGATTTTTAATATACCTCAATTTGCCCTCTACTGAAGTGATCAATTGCTGGTAAAAAAACACTAAGTAAGAAATGTGCGAAGTACTATAATATCTCACTGATCTTCACTGTATCTCCCTTTGTATAAAAGTAATTCTCTGTCAATTATGAGGAAGAAGAAAGGAACTGCAGGAGTGTAAAGCGCAAAGGAAATCTGGTTTACCAGCTTTATAATAAAACTGAAAAAGCAGCATCACCCTTCTTCTCCTTTCCCTACTCTTCTTTCAAAGAAGTGACTGCTTTATACTGATAAATGGTCTCAGGAACTGAGATAGCTATAGAAAAGTCTGTAATTGCATTTAGTTACGAAGGCTTTGACGCTTACTGGATTCATAGAAAACACCTCACTTTCTAAACATTGGCTTAATGAACCATTTTGCCAGTACTGAAATTAAGTTTGGGGTTCCGTATGCTTTGCTGAAGCTTTTGCTTGAAGGAGGAAGACTGAAATTCCTAGAACTACAGAGAGAGAGTAACTTTTATTATATAGACATTCTGCCTGTATTTTAATCCACAAGGAAATACACAGATATACAGCCATAGTGGGGCAAGCATAAATTTGACCAGGCAGACCAAAGATGTTTTTGTTTTGATTCCATTTTTTTTCATCACTGTTTACATGAATTGAAACTGTCATGCTTTACTTGGGAGAAAATATAGGCTTCACTCTCTGTATGCAAAACAAATACTGTAAGGTTATTTGCAAAAAAAAAAAAAATGGCAATGAGGAAACATAGCAAGCTGAAATTCTATTTCCTTAATGTGAGACCTCATACAGACAAATCCTGAAAAATTCAGGTGGATTATGTTCAAAGAACATTGGAAGCAAAAATATTTTTAGTTAGCCCATTTGAAAACTACTTTGCATATTCAATGTTTTTGAGTCAGATCTGTGATAGAATTTGACACAGTTCACTTACACGTACTTTTATTACACTATCTAGCAATGTCATATGCACTAGTTAATGACATAAACAGGTTGAATTTCTTTTCTTTTTTTTTTAAAGTAAATCTATTTCAGAATGTGTTAAGATAGCTTTATTGAACAGCTGCATAATTTTTGGTAGTGTATCATTTCTTCCTGTCCTTTGCTGTATCTTCATTGAGTCACTCATCATGCAAAGGCTCTACTCTTTTATTTCTTCTCGAAGATAGCTGACACTTCGGTTGTCATTAAATAATGAATTCATTAAATAATAATAAATAAATTCATTCATCAAATAATGAATTTGAATTCATTGCATTGAATGACTCTCCACTGAAATTTCCACTGAAATATCTCCACTGCCTGTAGTGAAAGTCCCATCAATCTCTACTGGCATTGCACAATCACAGAATAGTCACACAGTCACAGAAAATAGATGAGAAACAATGTAGGTACGATCTTTTAGGGGCTTCCAAGGCCTCAACATTTTTATTACATCTGTGATGCAGTTCTGCAGGAAAGGCAGACATTTGTTATCTTGTGATAAACAGAGGTCAGTTTTTACTTTTTTTTTTAACATTAAAACCTTTTTGTTTATTTTTATTTGGATTCTACTGAGTATTCTCTTCAAATGAACTGAATTGGTTTGATCCCTAATTTACGTGAGTTTTTCAGGCTGTGCTCACTTTATGAAACGTGTAGTTTTAGATACACATGACAGACTGCAGGATATGCTAATATGGTTCCAAGTATCAGCCTTGAAGTGACTGGCCACAATTTGTATGCAAATCTGTGTCCTTTTTGAGTCGTAACTGCTTTTTGGTACCATGCCAAAGGGATTGCATAACCCAGAGTTTAAAAGAAAATGGGGAGAAGTCAGATTTTCACAAAAATACTCCTGTGAGAAAAGAAATGCAAGATGTTCTACAAAGAACTCCTTTATAGCTTATTTTTGAGCTATGCTTCAAGGTTTCATTTACTCTTGGGAGGTTTTCTTGTTTGTTTGTTCATTTTTCTGTTTGCTGACATAAAGAACTTTGTGCTGAGGTTGCTGCAAAAATGATACATTTTTAAGAGTGTACATTCAAAAATAAGCAAAGTAAGTAAACTTATTATTTTCCTTTGAATCAGGAAGTGAAGCAAACTTTATATTAAAAGTTCGTCCTCTGGAGAAGTATCCTGTGGACCTTTACTATTTAGTTGATGTCTCAGCTTCTATGCACAACAATATAGAGAAACTCAATTCCGTTGGATTTGCTTTATCTAAAAAGATGGCAAATATTTCTCTTGATTTTCGACTTGGATTTGGATCCTATGTGGATAAAACTGTGTCACCCTATATTAGCATTCATCCAGGTAGAATCCATAACCAATGCAGGTATGTAATCTTTCTGTATTTACTGTAGAATGAATACATGATTAATTATGCAAATATGCATTATGAATATGTATTTTAAAAGCTCTTTAGAATCTGTCTCTATTTCATTATGCCTTGGTTCCTAAGAAAATGCTGAGAATCATTATACAATGATTACTTCTGAAATATGTGGTAAGTGATTTTTTTAAAAGTTTGTTGTATCAAAACAAAAAAAAAAATAAAAGTGCATTTCTTTTTGTTTGTAAAAAGGAGCCAAACAACATCTTTTTAGTCTATTTGAATATGTTTTGTGTTTATAGCCAACTGTTGTTTTCTCAGTGAGTTTGGATGTATGTTGCCTAGATTCATTAAAGAGGTTTGTACTTTCTAACCTAGGACTTATCTTCTGCTGTATGGTCCTGCATTCATTAGCTCTCTTTTGAAAATGTCTACTTTAGTCAATGTGATGCAGTTTCTTTCTTTTAGCTCATTTAAGGATCAAAACCAATCCTGTTATCCAATTCCACAGTAGTAATGTGAACTAATTCCCGTTATAAATGAGAAAGGTGCTCTGGCTTGAATTTCTTTTCTCAAGCATTCAACCTTTTATACCTGCCATTCAACACTTATCTAAGTGAGGTCTCACTTGTATTGTATTATATACATTTACATAAAATACTAAAAAAAATCTGTTGTTCATTTTAAATTAGAGCAAGTTCCAACTGAACTTAATCTCACGTGGAGTTATTTTTCTTTAATAATTTCTTTTACCATTCATATATACATTTTCACGAGTAACAAGATTTTATGTGGATTGATAAGGAATATTTACATCTCTTTCAAATGGAAACTGTGGACAACTGTGGTAGACTTTTTTCTAAATCTTGTTTTGTTTTGTTTTGTTTTGCACAGTGATTATAATTTAGATTGTATGCCGCCTCATGGTTATATTCACGTTCTGTCCCTGACTGACAATATAGCAGAATTCAGAAATGCAGTGAATAAACAAAAAATTTCTGGGAATATTGATACACCCGAAGGGGGCTTTGATGCGATGCTCCAAGCAGCTGTGTGCCAGGTAAGGAGCGTTATCAACAAAAGACCAAATGGCAGTTCAAACAAGTATATATATATATATACATATATATATATATGTATATATATATGTAGGTGCAACTGTGCTCAGTGTTCCTGAATTCAGACTGTCAGTTCTAGGCCTGAAAACTTCTTCCTCCTTCTCCATTATTTCCCTTTTTCCCTTTTTTCCAGCTGAAATTGAAAAAGGATAGCATAAGGAGATGTTTATCAGTATTAGCTAATGATGTTCTTTAAGTATGGCTTTAAACAGTCTAGACAGCACAGGATGGACAGTGAAAGCAACTGCTTCTTGTTTGAACAGACACGAATTACTTTTGGTCAATCACTAAATCAGTTTTAAACATCATTGAAGACCTTCCTTTAGTTCCCAGTTAAAGACATACCATTTGACATTTCTTCTTAAGAATGTATCTGAAAACTGAAGAATCAGTTACACAGTCTTATATAGAAACAAAGAACAAATACACTTCAGTATTACCTCAGCTTTTGATGAGTTAATACTTGACAAAATGCAAATCAACTAAAAATTAATTAAAATTTTCTATATTAACAGAATTGCATCACCATCTCTTACATGCAGAAAGGGATCAAAAAGATCTGCATTAGTGGTTCCCAAGATTTAAGACTATTAATAACAGTAAATTGTTTGCACTTAAAGGTTCTTTTGCTTGTTATCTTCCTTGTATGCCTAGTAGTACAACAGAAATTTTGAAAGTTGGCTGATTTGGGGGGTTACTCTAAAACTCTTTCTGGTCCTCTTACAGAAATTCAGCTCCTGCCCAAATCACAGGCTTTTGGTGTGGTTCTTGTCTCTGCAGATGATGTCAGAGTAATTCTTTTATTTTTTTAATTTTCACATTCTCTTTTGGAACAGTAGAAGGAGTCAAGGCCAAAAAGAAATGCAAACTGTGCTAAAAATGAATAGTTTGGCTTCAATGTTATTTTCAGATTTTTATGAGATGTAACACAGGTAAATAAATCCACTCTTCATGGAAACTGTTATTACAGCTGTTAAAAAATATTCTGAAGCTTTGGAAAAAATCTTTAAAATTCAGTGTTTCTCACTGGATACATTCCACATTTAGGACGTGTGAGTTTTAGAATAATCTATGCTTCCAAAAACAATAAACGAAAACATTCGTGAGAATGGAGAGGCTTTCGTGCTAATTGAGTAGTGAACTGAAAATGGATGAGAACAATGTGCAATTCATAACTACCATAATTTATATTAATGTGTGCTCCTTTTGCCCACAAAGGAACTTTATAACTTGCTCCAACTTGCTGTAACCCATACATCCCTGTTGCAAGCAGTATCAGGTTAGTACATGGAGCAACTTTGAAATTTTGGTTGCTGTGATGTATGAATGTAGGAGTCCTTGAACTGACAAAGTGAAGTGATGGAGTCTTAGGAGCAAGGAGGTTCTATGCTGTTGGAGGAAAATTTGGGATTTTTTTAAGATATAAGTTGTTTATAAAAACAATTTAATAGCCTTTGTTTAGGGGAATGCTGTCTAGGGTTGTCTGAGTGAGGCTGGTGCCTGCATGTAAGCAGTAAGCTTAATAATTATGAGTATAATCTGCACTTATTATCCCTACTGTTATTAGGTACTCATTCCCTGTTCAGAGCTGGCAGTGAAAAAGTGTGAGAAGAGGCCTAAATCCCTCTCTGCAAAGCAAAGAAAGGAAAGAGAGAATAAATCCTGAACCCTGGCTGAATGCATGGACTGTTGCAGATAGGTTTCACATGAGATGGATGATACCTGGCAGTGTTAAGGGAAGTGGCAGAGACGAGAGAGTTGTAGGAAGAAGGAGCAAAGAAGAAGGAAAAAGGAGGAAAAAATGGAATTAGTGAAAAAGGAAACAAAATAATAGAGAGGGAGAATGAAGAAGAATATAAAGTGATTCGTGTCTGCCTCTCCAAAAATTGATTTAAAGCAGACATTATTATTTGCAGAAAAATAAATGTTCTGGAAAAATAAAAACTGGCACCCAACCCAGATACAAGCTTGCCCTGCAAACCTTCACATCACTGAATTCCTAAGGCACATTCAATTCACCTTTGCAGATACTGCTTTGCTGATAATCCTCTGAGATATTGGTATTTGTAGTGTTTTTGTGCATAATGAAGATTTTATCAATTTGCAGGTGCATGAAGACACACAAGCTGTGTGTTTAATGATTGGATGATCATACGCAAAAGTCCTTTCTGGAAAGCAGTGTAGGAAAAGGAAATTAGAGAATGACTAGAATATCAAGCAAATAAATAGAAAGTAAAAATAGAAGAGGGCTTCTATTGGTTCCAAGTACCAATACCAATTAATGCATATTTGTTGGTTGTAATGCTTTTGGGATCCCAGAGAATTATACGGATGCTATGCATATGCATTTGTATGTAATAACAATGTGGCAGCTGTTACTGAAGCCCACTGTAAAAGGCATAGCTTGTTTATGTTTTGAGGAATTTTCTTTCAAAAAAGAAAGCAAGTGGTAAGTGGAGCTTTGACTCCCAGAAGTAGTTTTCAGACATAGGATGTGAAAAATCTTTCCACACAAAAGCAGATTGAATGCATTAAATATCCTGGTTTAAACTCACTGCTGCTGAGTAGTGTAATACCAGGAAGTAGACTTCTATGTTCATCTTTCATTTTGCTATTTAACATTTTAGAAAGTAGGTATCACTTTCTTATGTTCAATTTTGTTTTCTTTTCAGAGCCACATCGGATGGCGCAAAGAAGCCAAGCGACTACTTCTTGTGATGACAGATCAAACTTCCCATCTGGCCCTTGATAGTAAATTAGCAGGGATTGTAATTCCTCATGATGGAAACTGTCATTTGAAAGATAATGTGTACGTCAAAGCTACGAGTATGGTAAGGTATATGTCATACATTCTACCTTCAGGGAAGTGGTGTAAACGAGGTTTTTGGATCAGTGCTAAGCATTGCTTTTAATTCAATTATTAAATTAATATTTTCTCAGGTAGACAAGATGTAAAATAAAGAATACGTCACATGGAAATATTGACATCCTTTGTATCTAGGATTAAGTATTGTTCAGTCTGAGTTAACAGTACAGAGCAGAGAAGAATATATTACTGTTGTTTTAATGTGTTGTTTTTTTAATTTTAATTTTTATTCTATTACTATCTCATTAGAATGGCACACATTTTCTGTAAAGTATAAATAGGAAGTTTCTGCAATATTTAGCAGGAGAAGCAGTAGGTATAAATTGCATGTTTGTACTAATAAGACAAGGGTGGTGGTCATGCCTTATGGTCAGAAGATTCATAGTTGCATTGACTGAGAAAGCTTTGTAAAAGTGAAACTGAAGATGTACAGCACCAATGAGCTAATCCAACCTTGATGGACTAGAAAACATTTTGGTGCCACAAAGCTTTGTTGTGTTAATGTAGCATTCTCTGAGTCTCACAGTATAAAACCAATATTACACAGGTAAAAAAATACCTGTGTAAAAAGTTGCTTCAAATTCACTGTATCAAACAATAAGACTTCAGCAGATATTTTTAGCTTTCAAAAAGATTTCTTCAAGTATAAGATAGCTATAGAGATACAAGATTTTTTTCTCTATGATTTTTACTATTTAATTGCATGGTTTTCTTTTATGAATGTAATTCATTCATTTAAGAAATGTGAATTATTTGAATCATTGCTTAATTGTTATGTAAGCATCAGAAAATGGAAATATGAACTGTGGTACAGAGCACATCAGGGTTTTCTTCTCAGTGCTCACTGCACTTAGCTGAAGCATCCAGCCTGTGTTCCCGGCCAGGAGATCAGTGAGGGCTCGGTGTAGGCCAGGCTAGCCCTGAATTTAGTCCCAGTGCAGGGTGTTTACTGCGAGGCAGCAGGAGGTAGCGGCCAGCCGTATGGTGTGCGATCGTGAAATGTGGGAGGTTTCCAGGAATAGGTGGGTGTTTGGGACCTTGCTGAACGGAGGAGGCAACTAAGCATGTGCTGGCAGGAAGACCATCTGGATTTCCGATTATCTGATGTTCTTGCATTAATGCACTCCCTCAATGCACTCCCTCTGTCACCTTTTGGATATTCCCTCACTGATATCAGGATTATTTATTTTCCTTTTGCTAGTCTGTTCAGTTTCATTATTTTTACAGTGTCCTTGGGATAAACACAACCCCTTCCGTTATTCTGCTCAAAGCAAAGAATCCAGAAATTTTCCTTCCGGAAAGGAGAGCATATTTATTTGTTATGACGTCCCTATCTCTATTTTTTATCAACTTTATTACACAATTGCTATAGATAAAAATCTTTCTGTGGGATTCAGGATTTCTTTGTTAATATAGATATTTTCAGTTTCAAAAAAAAAAAAATCTATCCAATTTGGCAAATTAACTTCTTTGTAGTCTGTAAAACCTCACCAATATAAAATACAGACAAAATTAATTAATTTCTTTCAGTGACAGATTGATGGCTGACTAAAGAATGGGTTTTAAATGATTTTCTGAATTCTGGGCTGAAGAATCATGATTTTATTGTCCCATATAGAGTAAGAAATCTCTATGATTTTTGATGTTATTCATGCTTTTTGTGAAATTAGGTTGTCTTTATTTTGCCAGCCATATGAAAAGACCTTGAAAAACCTGGCACATTTTGACCCATGGCTTCTGGCTTCTGGCCCATATATTTTTTCAACCACTGGCTAATTCTTGCAGACCCACGTATAAAATTTAGTGATAGAAAAGGTCTAGAATGGAAATCTTTCTCAGTGTCAGATATTTTCTGGAATAGATTTGAGATGATAACACACAATAGTGTCTATAAGGGCAGGTAGTTTCTTGCCTTTTTTTTTCTTCTCACTGCTATAATAATATTAGCCTATAATAGTATATATTATTTTAGTCATATTGTCATTAGCCAGAGATCCATAAAGAAACAGGAAGAAACTTCAAATGAACAAGTAAAACCCGAAAAAGGATATCTCTGTAAGTAATATTTAAATGAGGTGTCTTGAAAGGTTGTCAAAAAAAAAATTAAAGAAGAAACATAGTTTTACTTTTTTTTTTTTTCCTTCTCAGTGCAATTATGATATGAAATGTTAATTTTAAGAGTCATCTGTAATAACATGGTGCTCCTGCTTTCATTCTTAGTGCCTGGTAGTCTAGAGAAGACTGAATTCTGGCATACTTTATTTTATTCTTGTTGAAGTTAAGATGACTTTGCTTTATGTATTTTCAAAAAAAAAAATCTTTCCAGTTTTTCCTGCCTATTTCTTTCTAACTTTTTTTAAGTAGTTACGCAGAGGTCAGAAAGAGCGTAAGAAAGAAATCTAGACCATTTTAATTAGATATGTGCTTGGTTCACTCTCTTTCTCAAATACTTAATGTCTGTATTAGTTATCTTCTAGACTTAATATAGTAGGTTAAAATAATAAAACGAATGATGGAATTGGAACAAGAAAGAAAATGAGAATATATTCTCCTAAGCAGTAGCAGGAGTAGATAAGATAAAAATGTACACCAAAGTTTTTTTTACAGCAAGCAACATGAGGCTCCTTGAGTGATCAACAGTCCCTTAATGTCATCTCCTTACATGCTTAAAATGAAAAAGATAGTATGGTTCTTCTGATGCTTAAAAAAAAAAAAAATTCTAATAAGAAGGAAATTTTTATTTCTAATCTGAAGTGAGAATTAAATGTACTGTTAACCAAAGTGGACACTGTAATGAGTTAGAGCTAAGAAACAGATGGAAGTCCAGTATTACTTGTAAGCATGCTGTGTGGTTTGGGGATCCAGTCCCTACAACTTTCACATGTCTATGCGTATCATCTCTTGACTTCAGTAAACTCCATCTGAATAAGCTTTTGTTTCATCAGGGGTTGGAAACCCATTCCTGATGCCACCAATCTCAAACTTTTGCCATTAGTTGCAGAGATGTTGAAGGTGCACTTTGCTGGCATTTGGACATGTCTAGTGTCATATGTTAACCAGCAGACTGACTCATTTGAGCACCCTCTCATGATCCCTCACCACTGCCCCACGGTGCAGGAGGTGTTTGTAGAACATCTGGCTTTGCTAGGACATGTCCTGGGACCACTTGGTGCATCTGTGATCTGCCAGCCTGGTGCATGTGGCATGTTGGTTTGTGAAGGGCAATGGAGGCCCTGTCCCTGTGGTCTGTGGTCACGGAGAAGGGAAGAGGCCTTAATGCTGTGTTGTGAAAATGGCAACATGGCCACTGCTGCTGCACTTCACATGTAAACGTGCTGTGTACTGGTATTTATGCTCTCTGGACCCTCATATATGGCATGCTCCGCAGCTGCAGCTGTAGGAAGGCCTGTTTATTGCCGTATTACCTAACATACATCACTTATCTTAAAAAATATAATCTCTTATCAAGAATAAATAAGTTGAGATCCTTGCTAAGATCAAATTGCAGCAAGGAATTCCTTTGTTCTTTCTATACAAGGCTATTTATAGTAGTGCAATGTGGTGGAAAATGGATTTTACCCCCTTGCATAACTTTTTCTCTGCTGTCCTGGCTTTCAAATTACTGTTAGGATAGCAGTTGACTTGCAGGGTGCCTTGAATAACAAGTGGCACTCCGAGGAGTAATGAATTGTGCATGAAAACAGGGAGAGTGTGTTTGTGTAGGAGAGAGGGACAGAGAGAAAGAATATGGGACAGATGATGAAAAATGTCAGGAAGAGAAAGACAGCAGAAATATGTGGGGGAAAGACATTGAAAAACCTGACGTATGTCTATTGCTCTCCTGAGGAAAACTTGGGGAAGGTAAACACAGGCAAAAGCCCCAGTCACTTCCCTATTTTTAGTCATGAATTTTAAATAGTTGAAATTATCTCTTAGGAAGCATTCACAGACACATATATGGTAAATCAGCAGTGACTTTCAGATACAGTTTGCTTTAGAGTACTGGAACTGGAGGAATGCCACGCAGCACAGATGTATAAAGCCTACTGAGATCACACGAACACCTCTGTGGTTCCCCGTTTCTTGGATGAAGGGATAGCCACACACCTCTTGTTCCCAAATCCACAACAGATCTTTCAACAAGAAGTATAGGAGGGCAGGTCACAGCACAGGACATGCTATAATAGTCAGTTCACCAAGTAGAACAATGTCAACATGGAGGAGAGATGTGAAACTCATGAAACCTTCAAGCACCAGCATGGTTCAGAAACTGTAGCAGGCCATTGAAGTGATGGCTTGAGGCATCACTCCTAAGGCAAGTCTTGGAGAAAGGTGTCAGCTGTAAGATAGGTATAGGATATTGATGTTGCCAGAACCTGACCTATTTAGCTGATGTGTCTGATTCCTGGTGCCAAAACACCTTTCTGAGAAACAAACTTAATGACTCACCTTGCAACCCCCAAAAGCATACCTCATCTGATGTCATTCCTCCTCCCTGACTTTTGCACAAGAACCCACCTGTTGTTCTCAGGAATCCTGTTCTTCCAGACAACACCATATTCAGCTGCTGTTTCATGAGCATCAGGCTCAAACCAGCAAAATGGTGCTGTGTGAAGGGTCCAGTTGGTCCTCCCAGTGTGCAGCACCACTGCCTAGCTGACAACAGAGAAGCCTGTCACAGCTGACTCGATGTGCTGGTGATTTGTTTTTTTCTGTCACGGTCTGTTAATTTGGGTAGTACCACCTTCTTTTGGCTGTAGGCCTAGCATTCCTTTGTATATTTAGAAATAAGAATTAGAGTGGCTTTGGAGTCCTGTATTGTGTCATATATAAAATGTAAGGTTTCCCCTACTAAACTTCTTTTTTTTTTTCTGTTGTATTTTGTAGGAGCATCCATCTCTTGGGCAACTCTCTGAAAAATTGATTGACAATAACATCAATGTTATTTTTGCAGTTCAAGGAAGCCAGTTCCATTGGTATAAAGTAGGTTAGAAAACAAATTCTTTTTCCAAATTTGAAAACACAGTATTTATATTAAATATTAAAACTGTGCATAAATTATTGTATTTTTCACAGGATCTGTTACCTCTGTTGCCTGGTACTGTTGCAAGACAAATAGAATCACAAGCAGCAAATCTCAATGACTTGGTGGTAGAAGCTTATCAGGTATGATCAGAATGACGGTGTTGGATGCTGTATTTGTATAGGATTTTTTCACCTTTCAGAGTCTAGAGCCTAAAGTTGGAATTTCCAGAATGTTGACTCCTATCTGAAGTCCACCAGGATAAGTTTCCTAATTTTCTGAATGTCCAGGTTGGTGGTGGGTAATACTGCCCCACAATAACAATTCCAATCTCAGAGGATGTTTGGGTCTCAAAGCCAAGGGCTGGCACTTTTTCTTTACTAAGGATGCTCCGTAATATGATGTTTGATTCTTTTCACCTCTTGCCATGCTACTTCAAAAGAAAAGTCGGTCTCATTTGCATTTTGGAATCTCAGATCTTTAGTTATAAACCTGGCACTGCTATCTGGGCATCATATAAATTCAGAACAAAAAGATGCAGTGGTATGTAGGGGGTTTTACATCATGAATTCTTAGCAAATGGACAACAGGTGGGAATTTACAAGGATGCAGTTTGACAACAGGGTATTGTGGAAAGCAGCATTTGCTTTGCACAAAGCAGTGTGATGACTCAGGGTTTTAAGGCATTGCAGCGAAGAAGAGTTTTGATAGGGATTTGAGGGAAAACAATGGAAATGGTTTTGTGAACTTCTGGGAGGAGTTCTCCACTGGAAGTCATAGTATGGGAAAGAGCAGTTAAGTTATTTTTTCATAAATGCTTGGCAGGAAATGGCAGCGTGAAAGTGGAGACTGTCATCTTGGTAGTGAGTGGGAAGGGGGATAAACAGGTTTGAAAAAAAAAAAACCACATGTAGTATATATTTGATGTAATAAAGGGAGCCCACAGAGCAGCAGCAAAATAAAAGTAATGGATTAGATAGTTGAATTCTGTCAAGGTGTGCAAGTTACATAAACATGCAAGATTCAAAAGCTGAAAAATCAGCTACAAGCCTGTATGCAAGGTATTTATGTGCATCACATTAATTATTTGGAGATGGAATAGAATCATCCATTGTACTAGGTTAACAATGTAAATTAGGCTATTTGGTTGCTTTCAGCAGCCATTGGCTTTAGTGAAGAGCCAAGTCCCATGTCTGTTACTAGCAATAGAGTGGGTTTGTGCTCATTTTTCAGTCTCATGTTGGAAATGTTGTGCAGAAGTCAAAGACAGTCAAAAGCAGAGGAAGTATAATCAAATTGCATAAAAGTTCTCTCTGGTATTATACTTTCTCTTATGAAATCAAGAAATTTCATTTTGAATATAAAGGCTTGCAGAAAACTGTAAAATACTGCTGGCAAAAAAAATAGTATTGAAACTCATGGTTCTTTTGCCCCTTTTAGGCTGTCCATCCTAAAGTGAATCAGAGTTTTTACAGTATACTACAGGGCAAACATTCAAGGAGAGGAAATAAAAATTTACAAAATAATCCTTTTATTTAAATAGAAGGTTCTGTGGGACTTTCCTGCTCCAGCCACCCCCAGTTTGTTCTTACTTTATTTTCATTTTTTTGACAGTATTTTCCTTCGCATTCTAACTCCATTGGACTTGATACTTCTGAGGTTTTTTATCATGTTTTTAATGGCTTGTAATATACAAACACACAGTGAACAGGGCTTGAATGTTTTGCTTTCTTGATAGCAAAAGTACTTACATAAGAAAATAAATTTAGTGTTGATGTTTGATGGCAGTGAGCCTCTTGCACTCATTTTCTAAGCAGGGAAGCCTTAGGCTTAGTTGTGGAAAACCCTGGGTGAAAATCCCTGTCTAAAAAGCCAAGGATGAGTCACTAATTTTCAAAAAGTCACTAAGATAAGCATATGTTCATATTCATGTAATTAAATTTCTATTTGTAACAATAAAATATCCTATTTTAAAAATAGTAAAATACAATGAATTTTAATAATCTTTTTGTGCAATTTTCATCTCATAGAATTGTATAGAGTTTTAATATAATTGCAGAAGGGAAAAGAAGTAATATTCTTTTTATAATTACTAAGATTTTAGAAGTTGCAGTAAATACTAGTTACGAAGTAGCTGGCTTTTTCATTATTTTATATTGTAAAAAGCTCTAATGGGAATCAACCAGTTGTTGACTTACATAGACCTAGCTGACCCAAATAAATCAAACCCGGTAGCCTTTGTATCACCCTAAGCTTTGCTCAGAGGAAACATTGCTGAGACAAACGCAAAACATCCAAAGTTTAAAGCATCAATTTCATTAGTAACTTTTTCTGCTGAATAATAATGACTGTATGTATGTCTATTGTTTTATTTTGAATGTCTAGCTAAAATACAGAATAGTCTCTCAAAAAATAAGTGTTTTTTGTTACACATGGTTGCTGGAATAGATTTTCAAATTGCCAAAAATACAGCCTCAAAACCATTTTAGAAAAGCTGACAACATTTTTTATCTGGAAAACGTAATCCTCTTTATCAGAATTACGAGTTCACTGGTTGTGTATATTTGGAATGTAATCAAGTCTTTATATGGGAAACAATGCTTTAATTCATTCCTTTATTCATACAGACAAGCTTTCTTCATTTTTAGTTAGTCATAGTAGCAGTACTTGGTATTAGTCACTAGTACACATTATATATTGAGATGCAATGCAACTAAAAGTTGTTTTCTGGTTACAGAAACTAATCTCTGAAGTGAAAATCCAAGTGGATAACCAGATCCAGGATCTTAATTTCAATATCACTGCAATCTGTCCTGATGGAAGTAAAAAAACTGGCATGGAAGGATGTAAAAATGTGGGATATAATGAAGAAGTATGTTTATAGTTCTCTTTCTTCAACGATCTGGAATACTTATTTTTCTGTTTGGTTGGGTTTCAATGGTGTGAAATCTTCTAGCGATTTACTCAAACTGAAACTGGATTTTACTGATTAATTATCACAGACTCTCTATTATTCTTGGGTTTTATTTTTCCTGAATCTTATTTCAATTCTCACTAATCTCATGAGACTAAGGCTGAAAGCTTTTCCTGAAAGCTAATGTCTATTAAAACTATCCTTCTTTGTCCTTTGCTGGACACAATGGCTGTGTTCATTGTGATGAAATTTGTACTTAAAGAGGTTGAAAGATAATCACCCAATGGAAAAGAATCATTGGAATTTGTGCTACTTGGATCTGTAGGAGATGCCACCTTTCCCTCTCCTTGCTCTGCTAGCCTTCTTGCACACTCAGAGTCATGGGTAACTAGTTTATTTTATAAATTAAATTAATGAAATGATTTATCCCCATTTGGATTGGTGCCACCTACTGAATGAAATGGCTTTTAAAACTGGAGCATCATGCATTGTGAAAATGCAGGGGAAGATGTCTGGCTTATATAAGGAACACAATTTTCTTCCGAGAACGACTTCTCTGTGCCTTGATATATTTATTTGATTGCTTGGACCAGTAGCTTGCCAGGAAGAGGTCTGTGTTTCTGGAGAGTGGGGTCAAGGAGTTCTTTCCTTCTTGCAATGTACACACAGCTCAGCTGATGGGATTTGATTGTGTCTGTGTGTAGAAATAGCAAAGCAAAACAGTAGATTAAACATGGGAGTTTTAAATATGTTCATTTAAATGTGTTTTATACTATTCTGTATTTTGTCTGAATAATTTGCTGCTGAATAGATGCTACTCTTTAAGGGAGATATGATATGTTTTTCTTCTTAACTCCTCTACAGTGTTGTTCCCTGTGTATGTCATAAGAAATAGGATTGGAATTTGTTCTGTTTAATGAAAAGAAAAATATTTATATCTGGTTCTTTTTAATAAAAAGCTGAGCCAGTTGATTGTAAAAGATTGCATGTGGTCTTAAAGCTTACTGCGGTTGAAAATGAGCCATCCTCAAGAGATTAATTTATTTTTAACCATAAATCCTCCTTTCAGTATTTGTTTACAGGCTAAATGCTTTTCCTTAATTCTCACATTCCTTTCATTGTCTAATCCTTCTTCCTTCCTTTTCTTACCAAAACACAAAAGTGTATTATATTTGGGAAGAATCCTATGGCCTCTTCAGGGTGCAAAACTAACTTTGGCAATTAGTGAGCATCAGTGTTCACGGTGCCATAATTATTTAGTGGTAATAAGTTTAATCTTTCTGCTGCTGTGTTCAGACCCATCACATTTAATGACTCACAAGCCAGACATGGTTTGTGCTTCCCTCCCATCTCCTCGCTGATCCTCCAGCAGTGTACGTGAAGATCATGTTTTCCAGCAGGGCTCTGTGTCGAACACAAAGCACGTTCTCTAGCTGCAGCCTTTCCTCCCCCCACACAATCTGCACCTGCCGTGTGAATCCTTCGGGCATATCCACACTTTCTAATGGAAGAAGCCTCAAGCACAGAGGCTGCAGGCAGCTGAGGGGTTACACGCGCAATAGTGCACTTGAAAAAAAAAAAGAAGAAGAAAAGCAAAAAGAGAGAGACAAAGCCTTTATGCACCCTGGATGGGACAGTTAAGAAGTGCATGCTCTGGACTGCATTCTTCTCCTGTTCGTGTAGGCAGCCGCAGCCTGGCTGGCCACAAAGCTGCCATTGTCAAGCAGGGTGGGGGCGCAGCGGGAGAGGGGGACCGCCAAGAAATGAATGCTCACAGTCTCTGTGGATGCTTTCAGCCTCCCATGTAATCAGTTTCTTACATTTTCAGTTCTTTTGAGCTGGAAATCTTTGTTCTTTGGTGGTAAAAAGTAAAGGTACTTGTGTCTGTCAGGCCCTTGTTTCACCTTGTCTTCTTGGTGGTGCTTTCTCTGCAAGGAGGCCGGAAAGAGTTGTTCACAGCCAGCAGGCTATGCAGCCTTAGTGAGAATACCCTGTCAGGAGCCCACCGGGCAAAAAAAGAAAAATAAAGGTAGCTGTGAAATACAAAGACTGCTATGGTGAAACTATCACAGATATCAAAGCTGTCAGAAATTTGGTAGCCACTGATGCCACCTCCATGGCAGTTACCAGCCACCAAAATGAGCCAGGGCCCTGTGCCAAAGCTCTGGAAAGCCACAGGGCCTGATGCTGCACAGAGCTCTGCCAGAGGCAAGGACGCAGGGCATGGTGGTGAGGGCATGCCATGGGCAGCAGATGGGTGCTGGGTCCATCCCAAAGCTGCACTTGGTCTGCCCAGGACCACAGCAAGAGCAGCAATACTCTCTTGTTTCATCCCCATCACAGGAAAGGAAAAAATAAGCTGCTGCTAATGTGTGAGCCATTTTTGTGTTTTAGCTGGAGTAGGTAGGGCCTCCCAAAGAAAAAGTCTGTATATTTTCTGTTTCCACAGAAGGCACTTTCTGCAACAAGGACATTTATTATAGATTGTTTTTATGATGAGTATCACTGTTTCTGTTTGTGTTTATCTTGCTTAAGCTGATCTTGAATGTTTCTATAATTTACACAGAATGAACACTTTAAATAAAAGGAGGACTGTGGTACTTCTATGGGTATTTAACTTGTATTAAACTTGTCTTCTGCAGCAGGAGAAGTAGACTGCTGCTATGGTTTAACTGTATTTGTGATGCCTATCTTTGCTAATATATTTCACAAATGGGCACTGTATCTTTTCTTATTACCAGCTAGTGCACATATAATGTGAGATTCTGCTTTATTTGTTTGTTAAAAAATGTAAGCAGTTTATAGGAAATCGTAATGATGTAAAATATATCTGTATTTCTTCTTAGGTTCTTTTCAATGTATCAGTTACAATGAAAGGATGTGACACAACCGGAGGAAGAAAATATGCAATACTTAAGCCTATTGGTTTCAATGAAACCACCATCATTAATGTACAGAAAAGCTGTGCGTGTCAGAGTGGAGATAGTGCAAGGCAGAAAAGAGTGTGGGCTGATGAAACTTTTCCTGATGGCAGACAGCCCGATTGCAGTGACAACGACTGTAGCTCTCACGGGGATACGGTTCATTCTGAGAGGTGCAGGCAACACCCGAACCAGCCAATCTGCAGTGGTCAAGGAAATTGCATAGATGGAAAATGTTTCTGCTACAAAAACAAGCTAGGCAAGGTGTATGGCAAGTACTGCGAAATGGATGACTTTTCCTGCCCGTATCACCAGGGAAACTTATGTTCTGGTAAGCTGTTGAATTTAAGTCTGTGCTTTGTTTCTCTTTTATTTTGTTTTTCTGAGACTTTTAAGTTAATCTTATTATGGAAAAATGTGATTTAATCAGTATCACTGTCTCTGCCAGAATATATTATTTCCCCTCAAAAGTAATTTTTGAAGTATTTTTAAATCTGTTCTGCTGTCCTGTCTCCTTTCATTTCACTCTATGCTGACCAATTTGTGAACTGAGGGACCAATTTTTTCTGCTACAGTAGGATAAATTGAGTAATATTAGGGGCTTTGGCACAGTTTCTTTGGTTTTGCTCTGTTGGTGACTGTGAACTTTACATAAAATGGAGAGAAATAATGTTACCTAATTCTTTAAATACTTCATTTCAACACAAAGAATTATGGTTCGTGTTCTCAACCTTCTTCTGTAGCCCAAAAACTTTGTGAATTTATTTATTAACCTAAGCAGACCTCTCAAATTTGTGAGCTCACAAAGCCTGAGATGTGGTGGAAGAAGAAACAGGGAAATTTTTATCTAAGAGGTGTTGGGGTCTCTCATGTGTGATGGAGTCTCCTGTCCAAGGAGTATGCCCCTTGCTGGAATGCAAAGCCTTGCACTGAGATGCCCTATGATTCCTTTACCTGCCTTTTGCCCAGCCCAGGCAGATGAAGGGGCAGTCTATCCTCTATCCTCACTGCCTCTTTGGGGATCCCATGCAACCATCTCCCTGTAGCTTGTGTGTATGGGTCCCTGGATCACAAGAAAGGCTATTGCATTGTGTGTGAAACACATACTGCTGAGGCATAGCTGGGGAGATCTCAAGAGATTTGCTAGACCTGCAAGTGCTTTATGTGCTGTTTCTGTATTTCGTAAAGGTGTTTTCCCACACTGTAAAACTGTGACTAAACATTGCCAGCGCGTCAATTGTACACCTGCCTAAGTGTATTGCAACATGAAAAACATGTGGATTTTGCCCTAAAGCTCTCACTTCTTTGCCTGGAAAATTATAAAGGCCACCAGAGGTTCTTTGTAGCCTTTGAGTCCTTGAGGGTGTGCATTTTAAGTTCTTATTACACAACCCACAGTTCATAAATAGAGCATAGCCACCTCTCCTGCTCAGTCATCTGTCCTCTAGAAAGGCAGAAAACCATTGTTGTAATGGATGCTTCTGAAAAGAAAAAGTAAAAAATAATGGCATGTGCACATGAACTTGATATTCCTTCCTCCCAAAAGCTTGCCCTTTATATGAATTGAATGCTTTATTGCTACAGAGAAGTTTATTTATTTGGCTTGAAGACTACGTTCCTGAAAGTTGTGTAATTTTTAATCACTGCTGCTTTCATCCAAGGCAACAGGGAAAATCCTAGTAAAATATTTTAGGATGAGATGAAGGTAGAAATAAGCTTTTTCTCAAATAAGCAACAAACAACAGTCATAAATACATATCATGGTGACAATTTCAGACGGATTTGTTAACTTAAAAAACTTATCAGCAAGGCATCAGCAATACAAACGTATGCATGTAAAAACTGACTTTCTGTTTTCATAAAAGCGTATGACTCAAGATTATCTGATGTTGTAGGTAATGGTGAATGTGAAGCTGGTAAATGTAAATGCTTTGCTGGCTGGGAAGGGGACCGTTGCCAGTGTTCATTACAATCAGCAAAACAGTGCCTGAATTCAAAGGGCCAGATTTGCAGTGGAAGAGGAAATTGTGTATGTGGAAAGTGTGAGTGCACTGACCCAAGAAGCTTTGGCCGTTTCTGTGAATATTGCCCTGCTTGTAACAAAGCCTGTGAAGAAAACTGGTACGTCTCTTATGCTAGACTTGATGTTTAACTGTAACGTTGAAACCAGGAGGAATATTTCTGCTTGGCTAGATGTGTGCTGTTTTTCTTAGATGTTAGGCTGTAGGAAACTCAATCAGAATTCCTTGTGCTTCCCTGATGAAGGATAGAGGTGTGGAAGAAGAGCTGTACCTGTGCACTGTCACCATCATCTCCCAGCAGTGCAGGGCTGGTCTTACCCAGAGTACGGCATTCCCCACTAGGCTTGGTTTTGGTGTGCTAATTCTAAGCCATGTCATTTTTCCCTATCCATTTAAGGAAGGGAAGGAAGTCAAAATCAGCAGCCAGAGGAGGGAAGAATTTAGACCATCCTGTTGGTGACACACAGACTGGGGCTGACTTAAAGAGTAAATTAAACCCTGTCCTTAGGCTCTCCTGTTAGCACATGTAACCATGCTGCATCCCACAGTGGATAAGAAAGTGACAGATAGGCCTCTGTTGGAAAGGGAAATGCAGTAGAAATGATTGTGTATGTACGTTCATTTGAATAATAGCTCAGCTGGAGGGACAAGCTGGGCCATGTGTGAAAAGGTGACTGCTAGGTAAAATGCAGTTAGCCCTGCTGGCTGAAATTTGTCCAAAGTCAAGCATGTGTCCCAATGAGACTGATAGGTAAGAAAGACTAAGACTGAACTAGAGTCTGTAATGGGAAGAGATGGTGCTAGACCCTCAGCTACCCTCCTGAAGAACACACATCACAAAGTGCAGAGCAGGGGCCGGATGGAAGTGGCTTGAGGCCAGTGAGATGCTTTACTTAATTACATCTGTCTGGTCAGTTCTGAGAAGTATCACAGGGATAAAATGCATCATCACATTTCAAAAAAATAATAGTAAATGTCGCAATGTTTTTACTAACAACAGGGAAACATTATGTGCAAGTGATGCATCAGCTTGTTGATACAATCTCTGTAAGGGGAGTGCAGAGGAAGACATAGGTTTTAATGATATTTCTCTTTCATAGGAATTGTGTTCAGTGCCATCATTCTAACAATGCATCTCAAGCTAAACTTGACCAGTGTAAAACCTCATGTGCTTACCTGTTGCATTACATTGACCAAACTTCAGGTATGTGGTATTTTCTAGGTAATTTTGGTAAGAGATGAAAATCTGTCAGGATTAATAATTGAATTCACCACTGTTACAATGTCTTTCAAAAGTGTGTCAGTATTATTGTAATAACAAAGCAGGAAAAAGGGAGCAATCACTCCTAGCTTCAGGGAAAATAAAAGATAAATAATAACAGGAAATGTAACTGGCAAGCATTGCTAAATAGACTTCCCAACTCCATGAGAAGTTACATCTAATAATAACGAATCCTGCCTGAGTAATGCTTAAAGAAATATTTATAAATATCCATAATGGCATTTGGGTGTTTTATTACTTCAGATATGTATACATAATTTGACATTACCAGAAATTAAGAATAATTAAATAATGCCTACCTCACTTTCAGCAATGTTTAAATACTGTTCAAGTATTTTTATTGTTCAAGAAATTGTGTTCAAGTACAAAATATATATATATAGTTATGAGGACTTTGAAAGACTAAAATATTTTTTGATAAAATATTGTAAAGCTTAAACGGTCCACACTGCAAGAAAAAAGGATATAAATGGCTATTTTGTCACTTCACATTTTTCTCTTTTAAGGTTCATAAATGAGAAAACTAATTGAGAACACTTTTCTCTTGGGCTTCATATTAATTAGAAGAAAGCCAACTGTGTGAGAGAAGTTGGCCAGTGAAAAGAGTACTGGACAAGTAATCAAGAAACTGTGTTTTCTTTCATATTTTGCCGATTATATGTGCTCTAATCTTGTGAAAATTAAACAGTTTTGGCATCGCATGCCTCCACAAATTAATCTTCTCTGTTTCAGCTGTAAACTTACCAGTTGGCAGAGAATTTATGGTGGCCAACACAGTGAAGCCTTACTCTTACTTTTATAGATTCAAAAAATAATATTTGACCATTTGGTCTTGATGTGCTTTGTTTTAATAGTTTGTGTATGGCAACTTATTTTCCCTTAACTTTTATCAGACTTGTGTTACATTTATGCCCTTTTAATATGCAGCAGGCATAAATGTGCTTGAGGAATGTGCAGATTCCTTGTACTTGGCTTTTCACTTGTGTTTTCCTTTCATTGCAGAATGTTTCTCTGGACGAAGCTACTTCAGAGTGTTTTCCATAATCTTTATAGTTACATTTCTGATTGGGTTGCTTGTTGTACTTATCATCAGGCAGATAATTCTGCAGGGGAATAGCAATAAAGTTAAATCTTCAGCTGATTACAGAGTGTCTGCAACAAAGAAGGTAATTGATTTCCGAGCCATCCTATTCAGTAATATTTTCTTGCACATAAAAGTTAGCTAATTGTTGATAAAAATTGTATCTTCTCCTTCAAGGATAAGATGTTTTTGCCTACTGTTTGTACAAGAACAGTAACATACAGACGAGACAAACCAGAGGAAATAAATATCGACATCAGCAAGTTACGATTAAACGAAACTTTCAAGTGTGAATTCTGAAGACTGTGTGTTTTCTGCAAATTTCTATTTTCATCATTCTCTATTTTTTAAAAGTTACCACTCTGTCAGAGTCTTGACTGTTGCTGTTTGTTTTTGTGTCATGCATTTTGTTGGATACTGTAACAAAGTGACATGTAAGCATATTCACATAATGTGACTATGTTTGAACTATAGCTGCTGTATTTTTTTATTTTTTTATTTTTTGGAAGAGGAATGTGCGTTACTACTGTTCAGGAACATTAGTGTTGATGTAGCACTTTAATGTATTCTAATTTATTTAGTTCTGGCATAGAATGTAGATATGAACAGGTCTGACAAAGCACTGATCTCGCTGTACATGTAGCTAGTACTGATATGCTCTGTAAGAATGGACAAAGCTGTGACTGAAATATTAACATTGCTGTATGTTATAGCAATAGGTGAAACTATTCAAATGCTCTTAAATAGAGTAAATGGTACTTTTATAGTTCTCTCAGTTGACTAAATTCCACTGATTTGTCTGCTTTAGCCTCTTAGCTTTTCCTCGTTACTTAATAAAAATGACTGGATTAAATGAGTGCTTAGTTACTGGTGTGTGTGCATAGTTGTGTGTGTATACACACGTGCACACACAGATAAATATATATATATAGTTTTTTATGCATTATGTCACTTAAAGATAATTTATATCTGATAGAGAGAAATTTTTAGCTTTTTTATTTGTTTCAACATAAAAACTTTTGTATGAATTTTAAGATATTTGAAAAACTAAGTGGATACAGAAAATGAGAGCTCCTCTGTCCACCAGTGTCATGCTACAGTGATGCCTACATGGCATCACTGCTGGCCTCACTTCGCCTTTGGAGTCAGCAGCATCAACTCCATTGCAATCAGATAAACTGCACCAGAGATGTGTTTGGTTTGCTAGCTACATGTCAGTGTTTTGCCAAATGAGGGCTTTGTTCTTTTTGTATGTCAGACATAAGTCTGATTTTACATACGTGCTCTTTTTTCTAAGTAAATTAGTTGGCGGGATTAGTTTTCTTGAATTCTTACTTAACCACTTCAATTTTTGTGACTGTGCATTGAGAAATGTGTCCAGTGTGATGTGAAAAATAATCTGCAGTTTGAAAGAAGGTGAGGAAGACAGGAGTCATTTTCTCAAGAGAACACATTAATTGACTTAATAAATGTATGATTAGATTCTGCCTTCAGAGATGGGCAAAACTCTTCTAAACATAGTGGGATCAATATAAGCTGATCTGAGTGCAGAATTTGAGCTACAAGGTCAAACTGAAGCATTTTCTTACCCTTGAAACTGGCTGTAGCAGTAGAAAACGCGTTATGGCTGTATGCTAATTGGAAGAGTCAGCTAACCTTTACTTACCTTAATTACTCTTCAAGACCCTAAGAAATTCTGGTCATTGTCTGTGAAATGTGCACTAAAATCTTGCTGGAAAGAAAAAAAAAAAAATCATCTCATAAGATATTATGCAGTCATTTTAGCAATATTAATTACTGAAATATTAATCTGTAATCGCCATAGATAAGAGTAACACAAACAAAACAGGACCACTTCCTATGCAGTTTGGTAGAAATTAGTATGTATTAATATTTCATATTCAATATTTCTTAAATTCCTACTGAAATCTGAGTAATATAGAGGTGACAGGAGAGTAGGATGCAAAACAAATGAATATTATGTGAGTGTTCACAATGAATTTCTTGGGTCATGTGTCAAGTGAGGGACTGAGAAAAATAAAAACAGGAGCAGTGGTCTTTCAATTAAACTGTCATAAAAGGTTTAGATTTTAGGGCTTTTTTTTGTTTTTTTTTTTTTTAATAGTTGTGAACTAACGTATGAAATGTTTCTGAAGCAATCCTCAAAGTAGTCCCCGAACTTCCGACCATTCAGCTAAAAGTAAAGGTCATCCTTACACTGACCCTGGTTTTACTGATTGCTTCATTGTAACATCTTAGTTATAAATTAATTCTGTCTGAAGATTTGCTCTGTAATGTATTAACTATACCTTGAACTTTCCTTTTCTTTTTAAAATGCATAGAACCATTTTCCTCCCATGTAAGTTAGCAGACTCTGAGCCATTGGTATCAGTGGAATTAAGATAAAAGATCTGCAAAGGTTTGCTTACTATTGTCCTTGTCACAATTCAGTAGTATTTTTAGGCAAGTAAGAAACAAAATCTCTGATTTTCTGTTTCACTTAGCAAAACAAAGCAAAGAAATACAACCTCACTCAGGAATATCTGAGTGTTTAACAAAAGGCTAACATGGTTATGTTCTTTAAACAATGTGATACAGTTTTTTTGAACAGAAAAGATTCCTCAGCATACGTTTCTCATTACAGCTCTTAAGCTACTTACTGAAGTGTTAGCTATTGTTTTGGTTTTTTCTCTAGAAATTATTTTTTCTCTGTTAGAGGGAGTTAATTGTGTGGGTAGGGGACAATGGAACTGGGGTCTTTGGGGGAGAAAGATCTGATCTGTATCGCCCATCATCCAGACGTCACATAGCTGCCAGTCTTCTCCTGTAGCACTTTGTTGGCATTGCAGTGCTGCCTGTGAAGGGGCATGGCCAGTATTTCCTTATCACACACCTGCCTGAATGTTTCATGTGCTCTGGTTGCATTGAGCAGGCTTGCAAGACAAAATTGCAATGTAAACTGCTTGCTGTCCTAAGGCAAAAAAAATATATATATTGAATATATATAATTTTTAAGGCCTTTTCTTGCATCTCACTCAGTGTTTTGCTGTATTGTGGAGGGAGCTAGTGAAAAAGAATAAGCTGCTGCTAATGTGACAGGTCAAGGCTTTTATAAGGCCCATGGGGAGCCTATATAGAGCAGGATCCTTGGGAGGAGGCTTTGTTTCTGGGGATGGAATCTATCCATGAGAAACTCTGGCTTTACTTGGTACTTGTTTCGCTCTGCCTTTGACCATGTTTTTCAGAAGAGCTGCTGCGGGAGATGAATAGCCCAACAAAAGCCTCACTATTTAGGGAGCTGTGTTCCCTCAGCACATGACCTTAAATGAGAAAGCAGCCTGTAATTCACAAGGAATTTCCTCAGCAATTGCAGAAGGCCTGTGCTTCCTATAGTGCTTAGATATTACAGACAAATTAATTCAGATTAGTTTTCAATGTATTGTGCGTCAAAGATGCTAGTAAAAATAGGTGGGAAAAATCTATCCTCAGAATAGCACATTTCAAACTTTTTAAATAAAACTTCTTATAATACAATGCTTTAAAAAATGAAAAAAAGGTCAAATGATTTGACCGCATGCCTATACCCAAAAATATACAGACAGATACTGTGGCACCTCATAACTGCTTAGCACGATTGCTTTTAGATTTCCTCTGAGACAGAGCATCTGCGTGACTCTTCAAAGCAGATTTGTTAATGGTAAAAATCTGTGTGTATAATTTTTAATTATAATTCCACATTATTTTTACTGTTTATCAATTGTATAACATTTTAGAAGTGACACTATTATGCAATTAAAACATGCATCTTCAGATTTTTTTTAGACTCTAAAATGAAGAAATACTATGCATTATTTCCAAGCATCATGAGCATGTTAGTAACATCACTGTAGATGTGTGTGGGAAAATAGCCGTTTCATCCAGAAAACGTGCATATGGTATGTGAGGAATTTTCATTGTGCCCAGCTGAAATTCCCTTACGTTCACAAGCAGTGTTTCAAGTGGACCTTAAAAAGGAAGGACATTTGTATAGGCATAGTTTACATTTTATCCATTATAATCAACTGGATTTATTTTTTCCTCTCTATGGTGTCATGAAAACCTGCTATGTAAAGTATTCTTCAGACTGCAGTGGAAAAAATTATTTTCCCAGTCTGATCATATTATTTGTTTCCTGTTTAGTGTGCATACTTAAATGCACACGTGTTGCAAACGGGGAGTGAACATGTGAAGCAGCTTCAAGCAACCCTTAGTCCATAAGGAATAGTGAAGCCCAGGACAGAGAGGTCCTACTGCTTTTGCAGTGGGCATCCCAAGCAGACACAAGGCACCTTACAGTTTCCCATAGCATCCCTACAGAGATGGTGCTCTGAGACCATACTGCTCCACATGTCAGGGCAGGAAGCCTTTTCAGAGCAGGCTGGCTGGGCAGGGGTGACACTGTTTCTGTCCTGTATTTCCAACGCTTGTCCACGCATTGGAAATACATAGTGTACAGTCTGCAATCCTCAGCTCTACAGGCTTTTTACATCTTTACTCATCAAAAAATGCTTGCATTTAATCTAGAAAGAGACAACTGGTGCCAGTAAGTACTGTAAACATGGATGCTTCAGGCCTCCTTGAGAGCTTCTGAGAATGCTTTGGGCATCTACCCGTTGACTTCAGCCCAGCCCCAAGATCTGCATTTGCCAGCCTTAAGTCAAGTTTTCTGTAGCCAGGAAAGGGCACTTCTCATAGAGACATTAATGCTGAACGAGTGCTGGGTGATGTTTACTCTGCTCTATGAGGGAAACATAGTGCCAGTGTTCTCGCTGTCCACTTGAAACAGAAGAGCAAGATTTATTTAAGCAGGAATGGAGCAATAGTTAAGAACAACACTACTTTTCAATGATGATCTTGACACTGCTCAGTGCACAGAATCTCATGGATAGCACAGAGTTGAAATTCACGGAGAGGAAAAAACAGTTAAAAGTAGCCAATGTGAATGTATTTTATAGTGAACCAAATCAGTGGGATTTCACTGAGTGCAAGCCAGCTCAGAATGATTGGTCTTTCTGAAAACAAATATGTAAATAAAAGTTGAAACAAAATAAATACGTAAAAGTAGTACATTCTTCAGTTTAAGAAATGCTGCTCTGGAATGCATTTTCTCTGTTTCCTTTTCTGCACGTACTGTTAAAAAAAAAGTATACCTCCTTTAAAAGAAAAAAGTTTTGAAATCTGGCATTCATTAAAATGATATCTCTATCCAAATGCTAACTTCTCATCCTTATACCTATACTGTGTTTGAGCTGTTCCAGTTATATTTTGAAGGGAGACGTTGAAAGATGAGACATTTGTTTGGAAAGTCATTTGTGTTAGAAGAATTCAATGTGCTAACATCTTCACTTTTACCTACTACTGCTTCAGAACCTAAAGATATGTTAAAGTGTCTTATTTAGCAATGGTGTGACAACTATTAAAAATACTACAGTTTTAAACTTTCTATTTAACATATACTACCTTTTGTAAAAAATATATACAGATAAATAATGTTTCTCTAGATTTTATGCATAGAGAATGTTAGTAAGGGAAAAGGTTTTAAATAAATTTGTAACTTCTTACTGTCCATTTTCCATTTTAAATGATACTTTTAAATGATACTTTAAATCACTACTTTTGTTTGTCTGGAAATATACTGAATATTTTATTATTTAAAATAGTATACTTTTATAGCTGTTTATTAATTTCAGTTGACTACTAACTTCTATTTTGATATTTATTAATGAGTTGACACTGTAGTATATTGAGATGTTTATTTTTCTATCAGAGCTGTAACAACTATGACATAGCATTATTTTAATGCAACATCATTGTACTTGCTCTCTAAAAAATAAAATCAATATTTAATCCATACGGAATTTTCATATTTTTAATGCCTAGGATATTTGTGATAAGAAAGAGATCCTCACCTCTTTAAGAAGTAAAGCATTTTCATTAAGATGTATGTACACGTCCAGAAGAGGAATTATATGATTACAGTGTTTTTAAATGGAATAATACTGGGTCAGGAGAGATCAGTCTAAATACAAGGAATACCAGTTTATCAGTTGCAGACAAACAGATGAATGCACAATTGGGATGGGCTTTGAGAATCTGGGGAGTCAGCAGTTTGGGAGTGCAGCTGGTTTGCCTTGCCCCACTCAATTGAAATATGAATTTACCAGGAGGTGTTTCCAGCCTATTGGAGACAAGAAAATACTGCATGGAGAAATGTGATCTATATGTTATTAGTAGACAGTTACAGCATCCTTCTGCTTTGCAGTGCCTTGGTGGTAGAGGTGTTACTGCCATAGAAATGGCAGTTTCTTGTAGATGCCTCATCTATGCCACTCACTACAGACCTAAGTTGCTTTATGAGTACTGGTGAAAACACTTAAGTTTTGGAAGGGTTACACACCTTCTGTTCTTCTGCGGAATTGGTAATAGTGTATGCTTTACACAATGCCATAAAATTTCTAATAAAAAGGACTTCAGACATTCTGACAATCAAAATTTGCACTGCAAGATATATGATGCATCAGAGACAGCTGTGACACTAAACCACCTGACAACACCACTGGTAAAACCAGTTGTAGGACTTCTCTCATGTGAAGGAAAGCTCATGCTTCTAAGAAGACCCAGGTTTTCCTCTGGAGAGCAAGAGAGAAGTGGAATCAAGAGATGACTGATATGTTCCCAGTCATTAAGCCACTTAGTGGCCACACCCTAATATACAATAGAACAGAAAACATTGGGAAAAGGTGTACAGCAAACCTAGAAAGAAAAAATAGATAGATACGTATATATTATATACACACATATATCTATATGATAGATAGATGGCAATCTGTGCATCTTGGTTACTTTTTCTGTTGAAGCAACGAACATAATCCCAATATAAACCTGATGAGATGAAGGCTAAGGAATTTCCTTTCACAGAGGAAAGAGATACATAAGCATTTCCTAACACAAAGAGCAAGCAGTCCCACAGAGAAATACACATTTTCCACAGCAGCTCTTTATGGAAGGAATGAATGCTGTCAGCAACTTGCAGTAAACATCAGCCTATATCAGACATAGAATTTAAGCACGTATCTTGAGCTACAGACATGGTGTTCGTTTTTTCCATTTGATATGTAAGCTCAAAGTCAGTGTTAACACCAACCTTAAGTCTCTGATAGACTGGCACCAAACAGTGCTGCACACCTTATATATTGTGGAATGCTGCTAAGTGATCTGTATGAAGTCTTCCTTCCTGTGAAATCTGGTAATCAAAACATACCTGTATATTTTAAAACATCCAGGTAACGGTAGGGTTTTGACACAGGCATCGTTGTATTTACCCAATTTCCATTCACGTCCATGAAGCTGTCAGTCAGGGCACGACAGTGCTCTAGTTTGGCTGTAATGTAATGCAACTGCTATTTTGTTGCAGATACCATTGGCAAGAAAAAGGCTTGCTGCTCAAGCACTTCAAAGAGGAAAGAAACCTAAGTTACAGCCTCTAAAGCCGGAGGAGGACAGAGATCCTGATTTCAGCCACTTTTTTGACACCAGTCATGTAGGTGCACACTATTACAAAATTTCTCTGCCTGCATGCTTCCCATTGTGGTAGGTGCAGAATTTGATGTAATATACAGAGAGGATGGGAGGAAGAAAGTTCTGTGTTAGGGACTGCTGTAAGTTATCTGCTCAGCACAGAGGATTGAGTGAAGATCTGAATATGCATGATGAAAGCCAAAGTCAACTATTAATATCATGAATAAAAACTTTGTTAATAGAGATTTTAACTAGTGAGGAGTTAATGTGGGTGGTTTGTTCTCCTTCTAGGTCTACAACAAGGACAAGAACCTTGGAAACACATTCCTGCTACCCTGGGTTTAAAACCAAAGAGTTTAAATATATTGTATGAATTAAATAAAAAAACTAGTTTTACAGAAACCAAAATTGTCTGGAGCTGTGTTTAAAACACGGGTATGCTCACTGCAGTTCATGGGTTTCTGACTGCTTGTCTTATGCTTGGAAGTCTTGGGTTGGTCAATTCTGACTGTTCAGAATTCACATGACATAGACTTAGGTAAGTCTGATTGCTCTAGAGGGATGCAAGTCCGATTTATTAGTTCTAGAGAGGCCCAACATTATCATCTCCTTGTCCTTCCTTCTGAGGAAGTGGTGTTGGGTGGCAGAAAGCAGCGTTCCTTTCTTCATACCATTCATCATCTGCTCAGCCCAGAGCATAGCATGGCCTCTGGCTATTTTCTTGGCCTTGAACGGGATGATTCATGAAGGACAGTTACTGTTTAATAAAGACGACGTGTATGCAAGCTGATAAAACTAAATGATTAACCACAAAAACACAGTATTGCCAAGTTATGTCACATTATGTTTATTGAAATCAGGGCATGTGATGTATTTCTTTCAGCTATTCAGCTTGCCAAGTTCCCCTTTTAAGCCCCTAACCAACATTTCATCCCAAAACTCTGTTATGCCTCCGCAATCTGGAGAGTGCAAGACCTGCTCCTGGCTGGGATTACTGTGCTCCCAAAACTGCTCACAGGAGCAGCCATTCCCTAAAAATCCTCTTCTGACTCTTTTGCCATGGCCTTAACACATCCATTCTTGAGAATATCACTGAGGGTGCATGATATGTGGTTTAACAGCTGTGGAGACAGGGGACAAGCCAACAGATAAGTTTTCTGTGGAATTTTTAGACACATCTTTGCTTTACTCTCCTTTATGAGAAACAGGAATTTTAAAGACTTCTCCAATTTAAACATGGTTCTTTCTACCAAGATCATCCTTATCTTCATGTTTAAGGTGTACAGCTTGTGGTTGTCTCCTGTCCTTGAATTGTCCTGCATCTGTGCTCAGGCTCCTGTGGGGAGAAAAAAAAAAAAAAAAAAAAGCCAGAAAAAATACTTCCCAGACTTCTCTCTAAATTGGGCTGAAAAATTTTCCTCACCATGCCTTCCTTGAAAATTGCAGACACTAAATCATAGGGCTTCATCAGCAAGCAGCTGATATATCATGAGGAAAGCTTTTTTGGGCAGACAGGAACAAGTTCTAGTCTGTAGAGCAAAACTAAACAGAGCACCTCTCAACCTGATCAGATGCACTAACATTCCTCTGCTCCTTTCCAGTGTTAGGAAGTCAGGTCTGTTCCTCAGTGAACTAGCCAGTCCCAAAATAATCACACATTCTCTAACTATAACCTTTAAACCTGACAAGGTTTAAAGCTATAAATAACACACACACAGTCATTTTCTTTTAAGTACCATCATTTTTATTACATTAACTATTTGTAAATATTTATTCATGTATACCTTTATATGACTGAAAATTCCATTGAAATCAAGTTTCTTCAGTATCAAGTTCATTTCTGATTGCTCAATATCCTGTCAGACAAGACCATACATATATATGCTATACAAATAGATGAACTATAAATACAGAACAGTCTCACATACTTCTTTATATACATACATTTGAAATGGGATTTCTCCCCTAGTTTCTCATGCATAGCAGGGTCTTCCTTTAAAAATTCCTATACTTATCCAAATTTCCCTTGATGACTAGGCTGCTATCATGCTGAAAATGTGACTTGAAGTATTCCCCAGTATTAATCTCCTTGACTCCTTGTGTTTTCCTGATTATATTTTTTAGCTGCTGTCCTACACATTAAAACTACATCATGGAAGACAGACAGAGCACCTTTTACACAGTGAACTCTTGGTTGATAACTGGGTTCTAATCATTCACCTAATATTTGTAACATCATATTTCTCTATCCACTTTATTCCTTGCTTATGAGAGTAAGGTCTTGACTTTAAATAAGAAAAGAATCATTAGGTCAAAAAAAAAGATAACATATCAAATAATTTTGCAAAACAAAAATAGTGTCAGTCTCCAAAGGACAATTCATGTCATATGACAAAGAATGCTTCATGTTGTTTAAAATGAAAAGCAATCAGGTTAATTTCCAGACAAATATATATATAAGGAATGTTTTTTTCTGAGGTTCAATACTGTGAAATTGCTGGGCCCACGTGCTTCAGCCAAAGAATGTGTTAGAGCATACTTGAATATCAACTCCTTAAGCTCCCCTGTGAGCTTATCAGGTATAACAGATCAAGACAGTTAATGTTTGTAACATGTCTCCCTTCTTCAAAACCTGGTATCTTACAGGACCTTTTGTTAGCCAGAACATAAAAAGCTTTTGTCTTAGTTGATGTTCCCTATCAGATCACAGAGTATTTATGCAAACAACTATTGTATTCTTACTTCTTCCGTTACTTTCCACTGACTGAAAAAGTTATTCAGATTTCCACTACATGAAAAAGCATGCAATGTAGAATTCACTGTACTGCCCAGAAATTTTGTCTAGGTAGCTGGCTTTTTGTCAAATATGTAAATGAAAAGTTTACTGTTATTTCATAAAGAAAAAAAATAACAAATGGCTGTCACCATTATTTGAAATACCTTGAAGGAAAATGTGTTACTGAATAATTGCTATCATTTAAGCTATTTGATACATTTGGTGACCTAGTTCATATGGAATTCATGTACTTTTATCTTGCCAAATTTTACTCCCTACTTGGTTAGTTCCCCATTACTACTGCTTCTCCAGGCCAATGCAGGTGCTTGCCAACAAAATTAAGTCTGCAATGTCCTTTGAACTAACAAGATAAGGGAAATGTTATTCTTGAGCAAGCTTCGGCAAAGAGGTTGTAATCATAGCAGAATTATAATACCATCACCTGCATTATTGCAGTTTTATAGGATATAAATTTATAGCAACATTCATATGCAGCTACATACCTGAAATCTTGCTAATTAAGGGTTATTATAACAATTTTTTTCCTGAGATTTGAATTCTGTTGAAATATTCCTTGAAGCAATCTCTTTCCTTCATAGTTTCTGCTTAGTCTGCACGTATCCATGGTTCAGAGAATCAGAAATTTTCTCTAGATCTTACCCTCCTACCACTACAACTTTGCCTTTCTTCTGTCTTCAGTTCTGCATAAGGTTCAGTGAATGTTTCAGAGACTTTCAGAGAAAGTTCCCAGAGTCCAGGTCTCCATCTGTGGTGGTTTTTTTTGTTTTGTTTTGTTTGTTTGTTTTTTTTTTTTGTTTTTTTTGTTTTGTTTTGTTTTTTTCCCCCCCAGAGGAAGAAGTCTGTTTTTCTGGATGAGAGCATCTTCCTTTCTCTACATTCTACACCCAGAACGACATCCTCATTAAGAAAGGGCACATACTTATAATCTAGTTGAGGGAAACCTGATGCTATAGTCACATCTTTTTTGGACTGGCGCACGCTTTGTTGGGTTAGAAACTGGCTGGATAGCCGGGCCCAAAGAGTCGTGGTAAATGGAGCCAAGTCCAGTTGGAGGCCAGTCACTAGTGGCATCCCCCAGGGCTCGGTGCTGGGGACGGTCCTCTTTAATATCTTCATCAATGATCTGGACGAGGGCATTGAGTGCACCCTCAGTAAGTTTGCAGATGACACCAAGCTAGGTGCGTGTGTCGATCTGCTCAAGGGTAGGAAGGCTCTGCAGGAGGATCTGGATAGGCTGCACCGATGGGCTGAGGTCAACTGTATGAAGTTCAACAAGGCCAAGTGCCGGGTCCTGCACCTGGGGCGCAATAACCCCAAGCAGAGCTACAGGCTGGGAGATGAGTGGTTGGAGAGCTGCCAGGCAGAGAAGGACCTGGGAGTGATGGTGGACAGTCGGCTGAATATGAGCCAGCAGTGTGCTCAGGTGGCCAAGAAGGCCAACAGCATCCTGGCTTGTATCAGAAACAGTGTGACCAGCAGGGCTAGGGAGATGATCGTCCCCCTATACTCGGCTCTGGTGAGGCCGCACCTCGAGTACTGTGTTCAGTTTTGGGCCCCTCACTACAAGAAGGACATCGAGGTGCTTGAGCGGGTCCAAAGAAGGGCGACGAAGCTGGTGAGGGGCCTGGAGAACAAGTCCTACGAGGAGCGGCTGAAGGAGCTGGGCTTGTTCAGCCTGGAGAAGAGGAGGCTCAGGGGCGACCTTATCACTCTCTACAGATACCTTAAAGGAGGCTGTAGAGAGGTGGGGATTGGCCTGTTCTCCCACGTGCCTGGTGACAGGACGAGGGGGAATGGGCTAAAGTTGCGCCAGGGGAGTTTTAGGTTAGATGTTAGGAAGAACTTTACTGAAAGGGTTGTGAGGCACTGGAACAGGCTGCCCAGGGAGGTGGTGGAGTCACCATCCCTGGAGGTCTTTAAAAGACGTTTAGATGTAGAGCTTAGGGATTGGCTTAGTGGGGACTGTTAGTGTTAGGTTAGAGGTTGGACTCGATGATCTTGAGGTCTCTTCCAACCTAGAAATTGTGATTCTGTGATCTCCTTTCACTTGTTAATATTACATCTTTAGAGATTTCCTCTGTAAGCCTAGCTCTCAACAGAGAGAGTTTAAAAAGCAGTAAGTTGCTTTTTAGAAGACCAAACTGCTCACCTACATAAGGTTTCCTCAGTGAACATCTCCATCAGTCTGTCTTCTCTGGTTCAGCCAACTTAACATAACATCCTTACATGCAGACACTGGTTTCCCCACAAGGTGGGTACTCATAAGTGTCCCTCTCTACCCCCAAGAACAGCATTTCTAGAATTCTTTCTTCCTTTCATCCTTTTGAACAGGAGCAAGAGCAATTCCTAAAGCAGTCCCTTTTGTCAGCTGCTCTTTCTCCCATTAGTCTCCCTAAGTGTGTACACCACAAAATAGGCATAAAAATAGAGTCACCAACTCCTTCTGTTACTGTCTTGTCCATAAGAGCAAAAAATCTTGCCTAGCTATTTACTTCTAGACTCCTACTCACTCCATGCTAGAGCTGGCCTTAATTAAGAAAGGCATCATTCCCTTGCCCCTGGTTTTATACCTGTGGGTGGGTGGCCTCCTCCCACTCGTCCCACCCCAAACTCTTCCCAGATGGGTTGTTGTCCTTGAATGCCCTTGTTTGGTTACTTGATTGGCTAATTAGCATCTTGGCTGTATATAGAGGGTCCTAGAAAAGGGAAAAAACATTGTAAATGGGATATAAGATGGATATGGGAACAGACGTTTAAGGAGATGATAAAATTTATAACCGAAAGAACTGTAATACTTTCAATTTTCCTATAACAGAAATAAGTTCTTCAGCTCCTAGCTTAGCCTCCTGTTTCATTTTAGCTTTTCTGCCTACCAGCTAATCCACAACTTCCCACAGTGGGAAAGGTACCTACAGCATCCCAACAGTTTCTCAGAAAATCTGCTATGTCTTCACTAAATTTCTTTCCATTCCCTGTGCTTCACAGGAGAGTTTCTTCAGTATCTAAACCTGGATTCATACATACAGTCTCTGCTTCATTAAGGTTTTGTACCTTCCTATCTTCAGAGCTTCTGCAAAAGTATTTTTAGGAGGTCAAATAAATAAATAAATAAACACCTGATTCTGTGGTTGGGTAACTTATAAAGGGCCTAGAAATCTGAGGTGATTTCAAAGTTTGGGGGCCAGAGTTAAGGGAGTATGCTTGAGTCACACAAAAGATGAAGCTGTTGTATTAGGTCCCTAGGCTTTCCTACTGCCAAAGATATAATCTGATAACCAGGTCATTTGGTAGATGAAGATCTCAGAATTATAAATAAACTGATTTTTTAATTAGACACAGCTATAACAAAGACAAGGATTGTTTCTAAGACAAAAATTAAAAAGAGACAGAAACAAGAGTATACCTGAAAACAGTTATAAAAAGATTACCATGTCCTCGTTATCATGTTCTCTGCTATAGGGACACCTTAAAAATGGTCTTTTGGGGTAGGAAATCATGATTTTACTCCTAAACTTCATTCAAGGTCTGAAGTTCTGAACTTAAAAATTTTGGAAGAGATTCCTTTTGGCACAGGGCAGGCCCAAATGCACTCCTACGTTTGTTGAATCCTAAGAAGTGGAAATTTTAAAAACAAGAAAAGACTATAGGGATAGCTCTGAAAGTAAGACTCAGCACAGCAGAAATCTATTAAGATATTTTCCACAGCATGAATCTCTCAGGCTTTTCCACATGGGGTAAGTATTTGGATTAAGGAAGACATCTTGACAGGCTGGAGGAATGGGCCAACAGGAACCTTGTGAAATTTGTCAAGGACAAATGCCAAGTCCCACACCTGAAGTGGACTAAACCCTTGCACTGATCCAGGCTGGGGTCTTCCCTGTTAGGGAGCAGCTCTGTTGGATAGGATATGGGAGTCCTGGTGGACACAGTTTGAGAGTGAGCCAGCTGTGAGCCCTGGCATCAAGGAAAGCCAATAGCATTCTTTGCTGTAGTAACAGGAACATAGCTGGGAAAATGACAGAAGTGATTGCACCTCTTTAATTGGCACCCATTAGACCACATCTAGACACTGCATCCAGTCTGGGGGCCTCTGTACAAGAAAGACTGATAACCTGAAGCAAGTTCAGTGAAGAGCCACCAAGACAGTTGGGACCAGAGCATTTGCTTAGGGAGGAGGGACTGAGGGATGAGGGTTTCTTCAGCTTAGAAAAGGCTTCAGGGGGCTGAAAAGTAGCTTGCAATGGCCTATTGGGAGGTTATCAAGAGCACAAGCACTCCATAGTGCATGGTGGATAATGGACATAAGTTGAAATGAGAGTTTCAATCTGGATATAAATAAAAATATTCATTCTGAGGGTAATTAAGCTTTGAAGGAAGTTTCCCGTTGGATCTCTGTTCTTCAGTGTTTTCAAAATCCAGATGGACAAGTTTCTGAGCAACCCTATCTGATACAACGTTGACCCTCTTTTGAGCAGGAGGTTGTACTAGACACTTTGCAAGATCTCTTCCAACCTTAATAGGTCTGTGAGTCTGTTATAAATGTGGAACCTGGTTCTTCTCTTCTTCCATATTACCTGCGTTTACTTCAAGAGGCCTGCTGTATGCAAGGGAAAAACTGTACTGCTAGCAACGAATCTGCTTAGAGTCTGCTGGGAAGGAAAAGCTGCCATTTTCAAGCTGCTATACAAAGCAGATGGATCTTCTTTACTAAACAAATAGCTATATACAGAAATTCAGTACAGTGAAATTTATTGCAGACCTTGATTTTTGAACATGTCTTTCTTATATGGCCATGGAAGAGTTTTGCCATCTAAAGCAAGGGACTATATCCTGCTCTGAGGCATGTACAGATCCCCTAGCTGGGAATAATACACACAGCTGAGGGCATGGTTTGGCCCATGGTCAACATTCTCCTATTTTTTTTTTCCTGCATTTTTTTCCTTGTAGTATTCATCTTTTTCCTTTCCAAAGGTTCTGATGTCATTCCTGCTGCTGCAATTATAGACTTCATTTACTTTAGTGGGAACATCTTTGAAGTCTAATTAGATTTCTTGAGAAAGACCATAGTAATCTGAAATAGAAATTCACAAGATCACTTCAGGCCAAAAGTGTCACGCAGCAATAATAGAGCAAATATTATGCATTTTTTCTGTAATTCATGCTCTCTTTCCACTCAAGAATTGGATTTGAAAAGTTTGGGGAACATATATGACATATTAGAGAAGTGTCAAATGTTCCTCGTATAGTTTATATTCACATTTCCTATGGAAAATGTCCCTTCTCTTCCCTTTCCCCTATTAAGCTGAAGTCTGTCCATCACACCAGGGCAATCATTTATGTCCACAAAGCTGTAAAACATAACTTGGTTCATTGTACTTTAGAATACGGTGTAGGCTATTGTTAATTCAGAGTAAATTTAAAGGGGGATTTACTGCACGTGTGAAAAACATCACAACTGACTGATGTCCACCATATGAAGCTAGACATGCCAGCTTTAAAAACCAAGCAGAGGACAAGGTGACCCAGCGCCAGTGACAAATGCTTAGTTCATGTCCTCTCTGCACTGTCCCTGTTGCTTAGCCAGGGATGGGACCAGGCTGCACCAACCCCAGGGCCACCTCCTCCCAAATCCTCATTTTCCTTGTAAGTTTCACACTGACGCACTGAGCAGGCATGAACCCATTAAGATATTATGAGAAAGTAGCCTGGAGTTGTATGGCCACAAGCTGTTACTAACACGCACTGAGCAGACCAGGAAAAAAAGCAGTTTAGTTTTTCATGCAAAAACCTTGAACCAACACAATAGAAACCATAAACCGGGTATGCGTGTTGCTCAAGGTCATGCAAAAATGTTTTTGCTTTTGTTTTCTTTGTTTTTCCCCTTCTGAGTTTCTATAATATCGCCTAAACTATGGTGATGGAGCAGTAACATTTTTCTTATTAAACTGGAATCCTGAAGGGAAAACCCTTCTCATAAATTTTTGAGGTGAAAACAACTGCATGGATAGCTATAACCAAGGGAGAGGCTTGAACCCTTAACTACTGACTGATAGTTTATAAAAAAAAATAGAGTTTGGCAGGGAAAAATATCGTTATGAGAAAGCTTAATCCACTGTCAAATATTTTATTACATTTCAGAATCAAATTGCAGGCTTGAAGCTATTTTAAATACTAACAAAAGAATATAACAAAGGGATTATATAAACAAGGTTGAATATAATGCCACTCACAGTAACTTTAGGAAGGCAGACTCTTTCTACAGCAGTGAAGGTAGATTGATTTCATAGGAGAAGAAAAAAAAAAAAGTAAAAAAGACAATATATGTACATTTTTATTAATGGTTTTCTTTTCCTGCCCCCCCAAAAAATGGGCCATTTGACAGTCTAAAGTGAGACTGCACTAATTTTGATATATAGAAGAAAAAAAGGTTCCTCAATCTGATGTTAATTTGCTATTTTATGTACCAAAAATATCAAGAATGAGCTGAGTTTAACTTAGCTTTTTCATCTGTGCCTTCTCTGATGGCTTTAGATTGCTTTTTAACTTGCTTAATAAACAAAGAGAAAGGTTGAAAACCAAGATTTAGACAGAAGCTGAATATGTTCCAAATATATTCCTTATTAGTTTGATTAGTAAAGGATGTATTTCTATGGCTCTGAGAAAAAAAAAAAAAAAAAAAAAAAAAAAAAAAAAGTGTTATTTGAATCTTTAAAATAAATTCTAAAACATAAGCATAAGCATAAGCATTTAAACTTCCTTGAAATTCAAGGTACAGTACAGTATATACCTGTAGGAACTTAATCAAGCAAACAAAATAAAATAATAATTAAAAAAAAAATAGAGTTACAATTAGAGTTACAATTAACTTTACAATGTTTAAAGCTAAAATAAACAGAACTGCTTTCAGTTACTTTATGAGTTATATATTTATAGAAGCATATTATTCACTTACTGACTTATGTCTTCCCACATTTTCAAGCATGAGTGAAACAGCTACATCTTAAAGAGCTCAGTCTCTTTGCAACAAGAACTCAGTCTTTTTTGCTCCTGGCTACTGAATCAATGTATGCTTTCTTGGGCAAGGTCCACAGGTATGAGACTTAGATAGCTAAACAGTGGCCTACATCTTTCCCAGCAGGTCATGAGGATGGCAAGCCACGTGCTCACAGTCTGTTATCAGCAAGATTGCAAGAAATACTTGGAGATAGGATGGTATATATACATGTATAAAAGATAAATAAAAAAAGAATACTTACAACTTAATTCTGTTGTAGGTTATGTACTAACATGGGAACAACAGGTTCCTGAGGCCAACATTCTCTGCATTAGCAAGGTTCTGCTATTTGCATTGTTCATTTTGCATCAGAATAATAAAAGGGGTAGGCAAAATCTGGAAGGCCTTAAATCGATAGCAGATTGCTTATATCAATAACACTGTGCTTTCATCATGGTTACAGGAAACTTGGTCAATGTTGCAACCCAGGCAGGCAGCCACCTTAAGGACAGCTCAAACTGTTTTCCTTTACTCTGTTTTGTTTTCCATGTCCATGTCAGAAGAGCCCTTTGCCCTTCAGCCCAAGACATGCTGGTCACTAGTGCATAAAACGTGTAGCACAGACCTTTTGGTGCTGCAGGAAGGACAAAAAAAAGTGTACAATGAGCAAGGCTCTGTCTCCCCTCCCGGTGAGCTCCATGGCTTGTTTTAGGTGGGCATGTGCCCTCTGGGTGACCAGAAGAATAAAACTTGAGAGCCAAACATGAAAGACACAAGCTTGCCAGTAGAGATGTACACATATATTTTCTACAGATGCCATATTTACATCCCACAAAGCTACCACATGGTTGAGTTTTCACATGACAGATTAGCACACCAAGAAAAATATTAATTCCCCCTAAATATGTTGCCCAACAGTAGTATTTTATAACATACTCCAATTGTTAGCCCACAGTCACAGTCTTTTCCTTAGACAGCTGTACAGCACATTACCTCTAGTGGAGTCATGGCAGTGAGAGTTGCATTCAACTCTTACTTTTCCAACAGGTAATAACGCAGATAGTTAAAGAAAAACAAACTTTTAAAACATTAAACAGCCAGATTCATCCAAGCATTGTTCTAACGTTACTCTAATGTAAATGCCATTTATAACTTTGGAGTTAGGCCATAATGAATCTGGCCTCAAAACTATGCATTGTGAACAGATGGTTGTAACTGAATATAAGCTTTAATTCACACGAAGGGATCTGTTGCTGTTTGTGGTTTTGTGGCATCAATAAAGCTCTGAGAATAAATTAGAGGCCTACAGTATATTTATTCTATGTGCTCTATTCTCTTGACAATTGCTTTACATTCTTTATGAGAAATAAGCCCTAAATGTACAGAATGGAAGGCTTTTATCCTCAAAGCTTTTATTTCAGAGACACCAAAAATTTTCTGATTTTGCCTGTGGATTCAATAGATCCAAGTAATCCCACATGTATCTGTAACTGGGTTCAAAACGGGGTTATTTGTTACCCTGCAAAAGTAGCCAGAATTTACTCACCCATTGTGCCACAGGCAAGGAAAGCCCCAAACAAAACTCCTGTGGGGCCACCATCCCTGGGAGCCAGGGCAAGCTGGGGCCAGCTCAGGATGAGCCCAGATCCTACTCAGGATTTGGGCATTGTGTCCTGTGCCCCAACATCGCAGCCCTCTGCTCTATGGTACTGGGGTTCACATGGCGCAGCTGCAGCCTTCTCTGTCAGTGAATCATACTCTCCTTTACCTCTTTCTCACCACTTAGAGGAGAAAAAAATTAGGATCCCCTAAATGTCTTCTAGTTACCAGTGGTGTGCCAGGATTTCTCATCACCTAACAAAAAAGCAAGCTCTTTCTTTGTGCTCTTGCCTTGTGTGTGTGTAGGAGTCTTTGGTAACATTAAGTACATGCATTTTTTCAGTTTCATCCAGTGGTTTTAGGTCTCAAGGGTACTACTGCTTTTCCCCATCAAGGGGATCCCTCCTCCACACATGAACTGGTCAGCTATTCATACAAATACTGTTTATTCCTCTGTTTTTGAATTATGCCTATTAAAGAATTTGCTTTGCTGGGAGAGCAGCATCTCTGGGATTCGGTACTGGCCCTTTGCCACTGTTTCCACATGCAAATCCCTGGATCTACTGCTGTCAGCCTTTCCATCATGGCTCTATGGGCTCTAGGTTTCTACAGCCTACATGGGCATCATTATTTATTTAGTTTTACAATCCTTTTTTTTTTTTTTTTTTGTGTGTGTGTATGTCTGAAAAATGATTGCATCTTTCAGACTTTAAAGCAAATTTTAAAAAAAAAAAAAAAAAAAAAAAAGGAGTCATGGATCTGATGAAGTCTGGTTGTCTGCAGACTATTGCTCTCTATCCCCCTCAAGCCTCCCAATATTTCTGTGACAAACCCTCTCTTATGTCCCCGTGTGGCTGGTTGGCAGATCAGAGGCTGAAGCAATGCATGTGCACATTGGCAGGCTGATGCCCCAAACAGCAACAGGCAGCTTTTGGACAGGGCAACAGGACACTACTCTTTCCATGTCCTGTGAACCCACATACTGTTTTATTCCACCTAAAACTTGGAGAAATGTCTTTGTTTAAGAACTGTAGGCTGCTGTCATCTTTCAGAGTTATTAAAGGCAAGTGGCCAACTGTAAAACAATGTGATGGAGCAAATCTCTCTCCCTGTTATTGTGTTTTTATTACTAATATTGTTGTCGTTGTTTTGTTTCTTGTTTTTTTTTGTTGGTGGTGGTAGGTTGGTTGTTTTTTGTTTGTTTGTTTTAAGAAACCGCAATAAGTTAAATCAGCAGTTCTTAAGCTTTCTTCCTTCTTTGATTTGGGCAAACAATGGTGGCCACCCACTTTGCAGCTGTCACTGGGTGTATATCTGCCCCTGAAAAACAAGTCAAAATCACAGCTGAAAATTGAGTCCTGAGCAGAGGTCACTAATAAGCAAACAGTAAAGCCTATCAAAAGGATACTGCTGCTGTTGCTGTATTATTATGGTACTACCAAGGTTGTATATCAGCCTTATATGATGTCTCTTTCCTTTGAATACTTCCATAACTGTACCTCATTGGAGGCAAACATTATATGTCATAGCCTTCTGGGCTGTGGCATTAAATCTTTCCCAATTTTCCCCCAATGGAAGAGAAAAAGCACAGACCCAAAAAAACATCAGAAAAAAAATATCATATCAATAAATATAAATAAAAGTAATTAAATACATAAATAAATATCAATAAAAGTAATTAAATACATTTGATGCCATGTGCCATGAACCAGAGACCTCAAAGCAAACTGGGCAAAATTTCTGAAAAACTTGACTGTTTGGAGCTATTACTTATTTTAAAAAAACTGAAAGCATTTGGGCAAGAAGCTTAATTTCATTTTGTTAGACCTTTATATTTCTACTTTCTCAGGTGTTTTTATTTTTTTTTATTATATTTTTTTTATGAATTTAAAGATAATGGAGCTGCATAAACAGAAATGAAAGCAAAGTTTGTTATTGTGGTAATTTCTCAAATAATTGTTTTGGTTATTTGATCTGTTTAATTAGCAGTGGTTGAGGGATGTCATAAATTATGTAACAATAAACCATGCTTCCTACTTGGTGTAAGATTTTGATTACTTGTGTTTACTAGACTGCATATAAGGTAGCTACTTTTCATCCAGATTGATTTGTTTATTCTCTTGCATCTGAAGAATAAAGAACCTAGTTATGCTATAGTTAAATAGAGCAATTCTGCCATCCAGTGGCTAGCTAGGTTATCTTTTCTCTTTCCATATGATCATTTGGGTATTTTTTGTTTCTTATTTTGAAATATGTAATTATTGTAATGTTCAGTGTTTATTCCATTACTATATCCCATTAATACATGTAATAAATGTTAATGCAGTTCACAACTTTTTTTCTGATATTGTATTCAAACAGGAGGCACACAAAAGAAGAAAGGTGTTCCATAGATAAATCATTATGGATTAATTACAGATAAATTACAGGTTACTGCACATCCTATCATCATCTGTCATGTCATTAATCAGCAGTCCAATCTGTTTGAAACAATGGTCCTAGGCAATTATTTTACAACATATGCTGGACTGGTTTCTGCTTTCAGCTTTACTTTACCGTTTAGTTGGCTTCTGTTACTGTTTCCATGACACCTTTGATTATGGTGCCCCAAGAAAAACATAGCTCTTGATCTCAGTTTGCCTACATGCCCATGAACCATGGCAGAGGATTTGAAGAAGCGTCCCTAATATAACTTTGTCTAATAACAACTGGAATTAAGTTTATAAATTGGTTTCTGAAACATCTCTGTGATTGAATATATATTTATTATATATATATGTTATATATATATATTTATTCTTTTTCAGAGGGGATAGACTGAATGATTTTTTAAAATCATACAGTGTGATTACATTCTTTTATAACTAGTCTCATTACTTTCACCACCATAATTTCTACAGTAATGCTCTGGAACACAACGTGAGATCTGGTCTTCCTTGCATGAGTCCATACTGAGCAGAATGGGAAATGAGACCTTCAGAATAAGAAGGTCTCCTCATTTCCAGACCAACATCCAACTGTGATCACTTCTGAGGAAGAAACATTTTCCCAAGAGCAACATTTATTGTTGAATCACAAATGTCCTTTAGGGAAAGCTTCACAACACCGATTAAGTTTCTGGAATCCGAGTCTCCAGTTTGGACAAAAACAATTCAAATAGAAGGTGCTCAGGGGAAAAGCAATGCAAGGGCAGAGGCCCATATATGCTTAATACAGTTATTAAAATCCATTCTTGAGGAAATGGAACAACTAATTTTCGTGGACTATTCTAGCCCTTTTGCCTATTTCTGTGGTTTGAGAACTGAGACACGATCCAGATGCAGATGAAGTTCCATATCCAAAGGACTGTCACCTGGAGATAAAGCGCATTGTTAGGCTCAGGGCCTTGTGCTGTGGGTATGGCTCACTGAGGGAAATCTCACAATCCCATCTTACAGTTATAGCCTGGTTATTTATTGTACAAGAGCCCTGCACTCTCATGACCCTGGCAATAAGTGAGAGGGGAATGCCCAACAGCCTCACTCTTAACAGAAAGACCATCTGTTTATTTTCACTTGGGTTTAATTACAGCTTTTCATCTTCTTAGGTTCTGCACAAAGTCCAGCTACAGAGCCTTTCCAGGAGCATAGCCATACACTGTTATCCCACATAGAGAACTCGCCTGCAGGTAAAGCAGCCAACGCAGCTCCCATCCTGGCATGCCTTCTCCGTCTCCCTTCTGCCCTGCATTCCCAACATGTGCGTTACTGACTATATCTCAGTGGTATTCCTTGAGGAGAATTTCCCAGGCAATTTAATAGATATTTTCTTGAACACAGGCAGCAACTTCCCCTATGCCAAGTAGGGCTTCCAGGGAAATCTCTGAAATTCTGCACTGCCTTTCAGGGAGGTAAATCACTGCACACTGTTGCCTTATGTACTGGGTCATGTTGTGATATGAGGGACTGGTTAGCACACTGACAATCCTTTTGCTACAGAGACAGAGGAAGGCTCTCACATAAGGAAACTCTTTGATCTAAATTAAATTGTATCTTGGCCTGAAGTTTAGAAGGTGGCTAAAGATTTAGAGAGTGTCTCAATTCCTAGAGGCCAGTCTCAGGGGGACCTAAAACAGTGTTTCACCTGGAAAAAATCCAACATTTTGCAAACTTATAATCAAGGCAGAAAAATCACTGGTCACATCTGAAAATGTTGGTTGAGATATTTTGTCCATGGTGTACACAGCTCACATTCACAAA